TGTTTTTGTCAATTGTTTACAGTAAAACTGTTGCATATTATGGTTGTCTATGTCACTTGTCACGGTTTTTGTAACTTTAAAATGATATTCAATTCATAGACAGACGTTTTAAGCGTATTATTAAGACTATGTCAGTCGCGTGCACGTGTCGTGCTTCGTACCGCGTGTCACAAATCAACAGTATATTAGATATGAGATCTCATTAGATTAGATATAAACTATGTTTACAGACGGTTTCTGGACAATATTGCATACGTTTGTCATACGATATTTGTTCATTTTCAACGTTTTGTTTGCATTTGAAACTCTGACTGCTACCGCTGTCAGTAATTTATAAAATTTAACACTTCGTAGCCAATATTTTAAATAATAGACTTGTCAAGATGTAAACAAATGACTGGAACATGTCTTGGCGTACCATCAGTATGGAAGTAGCGTAGTTCGGTTTTCCTTCATTGTTGTCAGACGTTGTTGTCAGATATATTTGTCAGATATATTTGTCTACTGACACATTGTATTTTAAGCTTGTTTGTGAATTATTTGGCAACTTCATCTCATTCTCCAGCCAAACTCACGTGTATGCTAGATTTTTATCAACTTGAATGTTTGCATATATTACAATCAATAGTTATCTAGATAACCAACTACCGGTATAATATTCTTTCGCAAGAAGCTTAATGTATGGTAGCCTTACAGTGCCATGGTGACTTTGTCGTGTGCTGGGGAAAAGTCTGAAAAAAGGGAAACATTTATCGTGTGTATTTCAATATTTTCTTCCTTTTTCGATGCAGGTCGAAAAGAAAATGTAAATTCAATAGACACGGTGTCTTGTTTTTGGTATAAGAAATACGGACACTTTCAATGGCACTATTTAGCCACCATAGTTCTGTAGTTCATGGGAGTTGGGTACGGATACATATGTTCACTTAAGAGTGAATCCATGACCGTTTGTACGTTTATGCACAAAAATGGTAAAATACTCAAAAAGCTCTTTTCATTACATCGCCTGCTTATCAATGATTGCTTTCTTTTCAAAATTACTTGTTTATTTGCAAATAATATTTGCATGGTGATTTTTAAATTATAAAACAACATCCTATTCAACAATTCGTTAAAAAAAACCAATAAAAGAATATGATTTCATCTGACTAAAATGTAAAAGATATTTCAGTATTTTAACACAAGAATCAGCCAAACACCATTGGCAACAAATGACAAATATGTTACGGTGACTAACTATCGCCGATTATATCGACTGATGGTTTTACAAACAAACGCCCACAGCCGTTCTTCTTGGAATCGCGATCGATAAATCGATGGTATCGATTATCGTTACCCATCTGTTATATAATATCAATTCTGCATCACACTATACTGTGTTTTTGGTAGACTCTGACGGGGTAAAAATACGTGTAATCTTTATTTGGAAAGCCTCAAAAACACAGAATAGCTGAAGATGTTTGTTCAGTGCAATCTCTGCAAAGTGACCCTCTGTATAGCAATAACCTTTAAACAACGACCGTGTTAATTCTTTCTAAAGTAAGGCTTTACAACCTCTTTAGAGCAGCATCTCTCATAATATGTTCCTTCTAAAGGTGGTCGCTTTGTAGATGTTGCACTGTATACAATGTTTATTGATTGTTTTTGGTTGCAAGAACGAACGGTTAATAAATTGTGATTTTACTGCTCAAGTTGCAATAACTTTGTGGGTTTATTTCAGAGAAGAAAAGCAAAACAACATCACAGTTTGCTGAAGCATCTGCGCGCAAAGTGTGTTGTTTTGTTTTTCCATATATATCTCAACATTATATATCGTTCCTTTTAAGTTAATGAGCTATACCGCAGTACTTGTCTTTACATTTTAAACACAATTAAACACAATATGTTAGCTTTTCACGGCAATAAGGAAACAAATGCAAAAAGTCTGTCCTTTTCAAAGCGTAAAGATGCTGTGTTTAAAATAAGCAATTTGTAGCACCTGGTACCAAACTGTTCATTGATTCTGTTTTACAACAACTCGCGCAGCATTTGTTTCAAGAACCCGATATGCAGCTGATTGTTTATGTAACAATTGGCTGTTAAAATAAAGTTACTTTAAACGGGAACATATTGTTTTAGCGTTCGTCGTTACATAATGGACATCTAGTGGTTATATAATCAGTTAGTTTGTCTATTTGTTCATAATAAATAATCATGCACGTGCCAATTATAACTCCTCTCCCATCCTTGGGTATGGCGGGGAAACGGCATATTTGATTACCTCCCCCCCCCCCCATTAAAGCAAAATTGCAAATTAGATGCGAATTGGATAAATTCCCCACGTTACGCACTGCGAATTGGGATAAAAAACCAAGTTGCGCACATCATATTGGATAATTCCCCCCACGTTGCGCACTGCGTATTGGATAAGTCCCCAACGTTGTGCACTGCGAATTGGATAAATCTCCCACGTTTCGCACTGCGAATTAGATAAATTTACTGCGAATGGGATAAAATCCCCCACGTTACGTACTGCGTATTGCATAAATCCCAAATGTTGCGCACTGCGAATTGGATAAATCCCCTACGTTGACCACTGCGAATTGGATTAATACCCCCACGTTGCGTAGTACTGCGAATTTGATAAATCCCCCATGTTGCGCATTGCGAATTTGATAAATCCCCCATGTTGCACAATGCGTATTAGATTAACCCCCCACGTTATTTGAGTGCAGAATAAAGCCACCGCAATTATCCACAGTGCTGAAATGACGGAATGTTCAACCCTTGCTCATTTTCTATTAGTCGACTGATTTGGGGGAGGGTTCCCAATTTTTTTTATAGTACCATATGGTTTAAACGACAATATAATGATTTATTGAGTCGTATGTTGTTTGCTAAACAGATTAGCAGTTGCCAAAAATTGCCATCCTTATCAGAAATTTCAGCAGAAATTTGTAATGCATGCATGTCTTATATCAATGTTTTTTTTCTCGTATTTGTCAATACGTTTACAATGATACCCACGTCTAAGATAAAATGTTGGGTTTTTAAAACATTTATAGCCCCGTAATCAGTGGCTGATACCAACAATAGCCGAACAATTCCGATTAAGTTTGATTTATATGTCTGGGAAAGAAAAGATAACACATTTGGCGCGTTATTTAATGAATAGTAATTGTAATTATTGTAAATAAAAAGGTAATTAGATACAGAAGAAACTCATAAGATAAACTTATATTACAATTTACATAAAGTTTAATGTTTATTTTCCGCAATCGTTGGCCAGGCAATATGGTCGAAATATCCCTTAATTAGAATTTTAACTTTAGCACAGACAATTAATTATGCAGCAGCGAATTACTGAGAAAACATTCTTTAGTCAATATATAAAATCAAATCTTTTGTCTGTAATTTTATAAGATGTGAGAAATATGCCCAATTACTACATACGTATGCTATGCTGCCGTACCTAATATTAAGCTAAATTGCACTTGATTTGTTTCCGTACTTATTGTCAGCGCGTCACATTTTAGTGGTAACGTCACGTGTATAATGATTACGTCACATGTCTAAATATAGAATGTCAATAGCATAATAACACACACTTGTTCAATAGGAAAAAATGCGGGTCGTGTTAGAATTGTAAACAATAACTAAATGGACACAGTTCTTAATCTGAAAAGATACTTATGAAAACAATGCTTAACGTAAACATTTACTATTTGGGCACAATTCTCAACGTAAACATATACTGTATGGAAACAATTTTTATGGACACATTTCTTAATGTACACAAAGAATGCCTATTGTAAACAATTACAATATTTAACACAAGGCTTATTGTAAACGTATGCTATATTATGTAAGCATAAACATAAACTATGTTGACGTTTTGCTAAGACAAACGTGAAATCTGTTAATTTACAGTATGGAATAATGTTTAATTGCAACTAAGTTGCAGAAAAGACGTTGCAATCAATCAGTAAATTAATCAATCAATCAATCAATCAATCGATCAATCAATTATACATAACTAAATGTCGCTATAACTGACTCACTCAATCATTCAAATATTTTTCACGTCAACAATAATAGCCCTTCATGACAAACTTCCACCAGTATTTTGAAATATGGCGGCTTTTATCGTCTGCAACATAGTAATGTCGGCTTTTCAATTACAATACCATTGGAAATATACACAACTTTACTCTTTGCTTGCAATGAAAAATATGTTAACAAGTGATAACAAGTGATTTTTATCACATATAAAATGTAAATCAGTCAGATTAAATTTGAATAGTGAGATTTTATTTGAGATATGCGGTTGTTAAAACAGGTTCTACCAGTTTGAAGAGATCATGTTAGCTGTAACTTGAATTTTCAGACATAATTTGCGTGAAATTCAGACATTAAGGGTGTGAATCCAACATAGATTCGTATAGATAACAGATTCGTATATCAACACCTAGATATTGAAGTTGTGGATGTATAAAAATATTCATTTAAACATGTTAAAAGTATGCAGTATTGGTCACAAGTTCTGAAATAGTATTATCATCCCATTTTGTTAAATTTACACTTTCATTAACAAGAATTAAAAACACTCAAAACTGAACATTATCACACTGAAATTAAAAAGATGCGCTTTGAAAAAAAAAACTGTATAAAAAACAGAAAACAATTACTGTAGATTACGTTTCAATGTATATTTCAACATGTTTCTATAAACTAACAATCTGATTGACCTCATTTGTACCGGGGTATTTTGGAATCAGATGGTGATTTCTTTAAAGTATGTAATTCTTCCTTCATCTAAGATACAAATGATGTCCGGTTTAAGAGAAGGTTGGCGGTCACATGTACAATAACAATCCAGAACGCTCGTTCGGCAACAGCCCGCCGATAGTTGACTGAAATTCCATTTAACTGGTGATATGTCATGACCCCGTGATATTACCAAAAGAAAGAATATTTGTCAGGCATATCACATAATAATTACGGTTATTTTTACATTTCAGACCACAGCTATGCGGAGCGACATCGCACACCTGCTCCAGATTTCCTCCATACTCCGTCCAATGTTACCTTCCATAGAGGAGAGCTTGCAGTACTGCGATGTAGCGTATATAATCTCGGAACCAAATATGTAAGTTTACTACTTTTCTGATGTAAAAAATGGCGGAACTTTTGTTTAATAAAAATTAAATGTCAATGAGGTTTTTGGGATTTGAACTCTATTCGGATCAGGGTCATATTTCCTTGTAAAACAAAAGTTCTGGTGAACCCAGGAGTTGATTTTTGACTGTTTTATAAATAAGTAATAAAGTTATATAGTCTTTATTGCACGTCAAAAGCGTTTGCTTTTATTAATCTGCTTATATAATTTAAATAGAATATTATAAAAAGAACTTACTATAATTGTTTTGGGATTGTTCAGTATCTATTATTAACATCTTTTTAAACATATGAAAATAATTGTATAAGTTATTAAATTTAAAGCTGCTCGATTCCAGCTGAATAAACCATTATCAAAACATTAAATTTTGAGAACTATATCTACTATATATAAGAATTTAAGGAATGTTCAGTGAAATTTTGTGTTCTGTATAAAACGTTACTAATTTTCCGTTGTTATCATTATGTTAACATGTATATACCATGTTACTGACAAAATAATCACTGTAGGGGTCCGTACTCGACAGCGAAAGATGAAAGTGCGGTTGGACACTCATTAACCATAGATTTCATCATCATCATCATCATCATCATCATCATCAGTAATCACTCTTTCAGGATAATATGAACCCATGAAATCTGCACGCTTCCTGCTGGGCTAAAATATTTCAAGAAAATCAATCTAAAGAGAAATGTATCAAGAAAAGTAAAATGATTCAAGGATTCAATTAATAATTGACATGTTATGTGCGAATAATGGCTGATTTTGCTGAATTTATCAACCATATTTCTACTGCGTGACTAATGCAGTACTGTCTATTTATGCATATATGACCCCTATTGTGTAATTTACATAGATTGCAAGTGCCGTATGCAATGTATAAATTACTTTTTTGTTTCAATTTACAAAATTTACTTTTAAAATATAATGTATTTTCAAATTTTTCATGAAAATTAGCATGAATTGGAGAGCCAGTTCAGAGGCATGCTGTTTCAATGATATAGTAAATGAATGAGGGCTTAAATCACTTAATTTGTATACTTGACAATATGAACACACACATTTTTTTCAATTTACGAGACGCTATATCTAGAATGTAATATTTTGTAACATTCTTTTAACTGATATAAGTGATATTTAATATAGTATAGTATATCGAGTTAAGTAAAAAAAACTACTCCTCTCTTGGGCATACATCCTGGCAAACGTCTTGGCAAACAACTGCTTTGAAACTAAAGCCTACAAAACGATAAGGAAATTCGCATAAGGTGGCCATGCTTGTTGTATATTAACTGCTAATTATTTTCTTGTTTTTGTCTGTATTTTCATTACAGAACTTAAAAGATTTTTGATTGGAAACATTTGTTTGTAAAGTTGTGCATGCTGCAACAACTTATTGTTTATTGAATTAATTAACAACCTGGCCATTGTGTAATTCTTATGTGGATATATACTGACTGAAAATTAGATAAAAAATCATTTCAATCCAAAATCTTTATCTTTATTTTGATCCAATCTGTTTGTAAATTGAACTTTTACATCTTATCTTTTTATTTAATTAATTGGTTTTCGTTCCATTAAATTAATTGGTTTTCGTTTCATTGAATTAATTTTTTTTTTGCAAATTGGATGTTTAACCATAAACGGAATGGCAGCAAAGCGTTTCGTCTGATATAATAGCATGTTCATCAAAGCAATTGCATCTGTATTTGCTAGGAACTTTTGATCACCGCACCAGTTGATAACGTATATTTCATTTACCTTATAATGTTAAAAAGTAATTGAAATGCATCATTAATAAGAAACAGTAGAGAAAAAAATATATACCTAATTCAATTTTCTTGAATTGTAAAGGACATGTGATAATGTATTCAAGTTCGTGAAAGTATCGTATTTTTTCTTATTTTAGCACCAAAAATAAAAATTGTGATAAGAATTCTTTTTCTTTATTTTTCGGGCAGCAAAAATAAAAATCGAGAAAGCAGCGTATTTTTTCTTCTTCTTTTTTTCGGGCACCAAAACTGATTACATGATAAGAAAGTATTGTTTATTTATTTTTGGGGAAGCAAAAATGAATGTCGTGAAAACATCGAAGTTTTTCTCTATTTTTTTTCCGGCAACAAACAAAAAAGTCATGATGTATGTCGTATTTTTTACTCGTCAGATAGCTGTAGTCTGCTCCCAACAAGCAAATGTCTTCCGTAACTGATGATTGTAATGCACTTTAAAGCAGCAGATTCGTGAAAATTCCGATTTTTTTATTATTGTGAAGAGACCAAAGAAATTAATTTACACATTGCATATAGAACTTACAATCCACGAAAATTACCAAAAGGAGGTCAAAATATGCAAAAAAAGCCCTTACCGCGTTAGTCACGCAGATAAATACTACAAAATCAGTCAATATTGTCACATGACATGTAAATTACTACTTGAATCTTGGATGTTTTACTTTAATTTAAATCTTAGAACATTTTTCTCAAGTTTGATTTCCTTGAAATAGTTTCGCCCATTTGGAGGCATGCACCTTTAAAGCTTGGTTCTTGTTACAGTTAATGTAGCAATAAAGTTTGGTGTTAACACGCATGCGTTAGATTATTTTGAGGTTTCTAGCTCGTGAAGTACAATAAATTCACTAATTAACTCTCGCCAATGTAAATTTCAATAAAGGTTGTGTGGAGACGAACGGATAGTTCATTTCCTTTGACATCCGGTACGATGGTTGTGGTTGCAGACGATAGACTTCAAATAGGTCACGTGCAATATAAAAACCAATGGGACCTCATGATAAAAAATGTCCAACCAGAAGATGCGGGTATATATGAATGTCAAGTTGCTTCAAAAGATAAAACTGTCCGGAGATTGGTTCAACTCACTGTGATTGGTATATTTATTTATTCTATCTTGGTATATAAACTTTAATAAATGAAAAAAAAAACGTCTGTGTAACTCTAAAATCAAAATACATGCATTTCTTGATAAAAGTCTAATTATGAATTCTTTGCAAAAAGACCAAGACTTTGAATAAATGCTTTTGATATTACAAATAAACAGTAATTGTTAGCGTTCAGTTTTGTGTACTTTAGAACCACGAAACAATCCACACTTGAGTCCCATTTGTAACACATATTTTTGGTACTTGTTCCGGATATCGTCAATCCGGCCATAACTCAATTATAGAAAATACCAGCAATTTATATATGGATAACCTTAGGCTTGCTATTTTGTTTATTACCCAATGGAGGCCAATAAAAGCGAGGCAATTTTTATTTTGTCTAGGAACTGTCGTCTTTTTTATTTTTATGTAAGCAGATCCAGAGGCCGATATCCCGGAAATAAAGATTTCAGAAGAGCAGTACGTGGAGCGGGGAGAAAGTATTGTTCTACAGTGCAACGCTACTGGGGAATACTATCCTCCTGATGAAATGGACTGGTTCCGAAACGGACAAAAAGTGGATTCTAACATGGGATCAGGAATTAAAATATTAAAACAGTTTTCAATATCAAAACGAACGTTTTCAAGTAATTTGCGAATAGACAGAGCTAAAATGGATGATGGAGGGACATATGTCTGTCGTACATCCAGTATGCAAATAGCTAGCACAAAAGTGCACGTTTTAAATGGTAAGAACAAAGGTATATATACATATTGACATGCTATATTCAAATTTTAAAATAACGCGTACCACTTTTTTATTTTCAAATGTTACACAGACGTGTATTACATGCATTTAATAAAAGATTAAGCTTAATGAACAATTTAAACACTATCGGATCTGAAGGCCGGAAGCGGTTGATATTTGACCACAAACGCACCGTTGTTCTTATTCCCTCCCTGTAGAAAATGAATTTACGTAAACGTTGGGACGCGCATGCTCCATTTATCCTTGAATCCCATTTATCTAGATTTTCCTTCATTTCAACGTTTTCAAAATTTGTTATTCTCGAACTATTTTCGCATACAGTATGGTAAATTAATCGGCGGAATAGCCTATATTCCAACGCGCTAACTTACAAAATGTACTTGCACATGTGAATGGAAATAGGTCATGGTTTTGTGTGCGATGTGTAATAAACTTGGACCGGCAATTTTTAAGCAAATTTTGGTGTTCTAACTGTTCTTAAACATTTTAAGTTTCCATAAAAGCTACTATTCTTCAATATTGAGTTTTAACCAAATTATTATGGTTTACACATGCGCGTCCTTATCAAAATTGTCACCACTTCACTTAGTACAAGCACAATTAGTTTGCTTTTGCTTGCATGTTACTTCCGAATCAATTAATTGTGCAATGGCTTGTCAGTGAGTGATTTTGTTTTGTTCAATGTTCAGATATCGCTGTCTATATAAATTGATCTGACTTTCAATAAAATCAAAGCGTTCAGAACATATGAACTAGCGATAAGCGGATGCTTGTTAACGCTTTTTAACTTCCGGAACAGTTCCGTCAAATTTATACAGTGTAACCTCTGCAGCGCATACAGCAAATGTGCACGTGATATACGGCTAATTTTGACGACTGTCTGAACGATACGTCTGAAAATTAGAAAATTATACGGCCAACGTTTGAATACGGTCCAAAAAGTATATTATGTAAACGGTTAACGAATTATTACTGTATTAGTACTGTAAGACCGCATTGTCTGTTTTTTAGATATTCGGCAAATGCAGAATACTATCGTCTGTAAAAACAATATCATTTGTAAATTAAGTATACGGCTAACGCTTGATTACCGTAAGAACAGTACCATACGTTTATCAAAAATACAGCTAAGGCTTGATTACGTTAAGAACAGTATATTATATTTGCGGCTAACTCTAGATTAGTTTAAGAACACTTTTATCTGTATATAAAGTATACCACTTAACGCTTGATTACTGTAAGCACTATATATTCTTTAATTAATTAATTACCGCGAACGCATGTTTAACGTAAGAACATTATGATTTATATATAAGTAGGATAACGCTTGAATACCGTAACATCAGTATTGACTGTTAAATTCTATACGTCTAACGCTTGATTACCATAAAACAGTATCGTCTGCAAATTAATTTCTGGCCATTCAACCGTCAAAGTAGTATAAAATAAGATTTACTGTATGGATTCTGAGATAAGTACTGATTGCCAAAGCGCTTGACTACTATTATGTAGCGCTTGATTACAGTATTGTCCAAAATATGGGCCACAATGTCTCTATACAAACAAAGCTTAGACCCTATATGTAAGTTATTGTCTTAAGATATCAAATAGTTGGAATCCACGAGCGCGGCGATGAATTTCTCTATTACGAAACAGCGGTATTTCAAAACCAAACAAAAAACGTTTTAAATTATTGTTACCATAACAAGAATATAATATAATGTCGGCTCTTGGCACGTTTATTTTATAAGATCGTTTCTGTGTTGAATTATTGATGAGATTCGCGGGACACCAGCTGTTTTTTGTTACTTCCTCAATAATTTAGGCAGCTGTTACTTTAAATAATATGTCTTTGTTTTTCTGATTAATCACTGCAACACTTACAAAAACTATGTGAACAATGATCGATTATTTTTCTCTTTTTTTCCCTTGCAGCCGAGACGTATAACCGAAAAAGAGGTAAGTTTTTTTTCTAGGAATTATCCTCTTATTTCTTAATGGAGCGCCACATTGACATAAATTCAATTATTTGAAACGATCACTGAATTTATTCAATGAACCTCTCTTCTAATGAATGTATTATTCTTATCAGAGAATAGATGTTCAAATACATTGAAATATCAGAAAAGGTTCAAAAATTGAAGTTTATGTCAATTTAGAGGTCCATACTTGTAAAAAATACGTATTTTCTACTTCATTTAATTATGATGTAAGACGGCACATTTATAAAATCGATTTTCATTGGTTATAAGTGACGTTTATATTATTAGTTATAAAATTCTTTGACATGTTATATGGCCCTATATAAACGGCTATTTATAAATACATGTATAATCCGAGCCGTTAGTCCAAAATTTTGTTAATAACGCTTTGTTTTATGCCATCAATCAGTAAACTTTGTATCAAATTATCTCAGAGGAGAAGTTGACAGTAACTTGCGGAGAATCTAGTTCTTGTCCCGTTAGATAACTGTTGTACGGAGTGTGACAGAAATGGTGGTTATATGCCTCTTAGATAAACAAATCAAACAACGTTTCTATCTATTATAACTTATGCTACGAGCCTGTGTCTGGTGACCAAATGATTCTATTATCTATTATTGCATAAGTTATGCACACTTTAGTGTTTCTCTTTATTTATGTTTTTTTGTATTTCTGAAGAGCTTTATAATTTATAAAGATTAGTTCCTTTATAGTCCATAGTTTGTTTCTATATATTGCTGGCTCATGTAATGCTTTCTTCCTATTTAGTTTGCTCCTATATAAAAGTAATATGTCCCCATATGTTTTGTTCCATGTAAGGAAAGTTTTTTCCTATTTAATATGTAACAATATATGTTCTGTTCCAATATGATATGACTATATTGCTCCTAAATGGTATTTGCAGAATTTTTCTATATGTATTTTCCAAAGTAGCATGTTTATGTATGTTTTGTTCCCATATATATTTCATTCCTATATTTCTTGTTAATTATATTTGTTAATATGTAGAATGAACTTTACATTCTGTTCCGATTATTATATTTCTACAGATAATTCAGTATCCGGTAACTTCTCAAATAATTTGTTCTTATACGTTATTTTTCTTGTAGAATTACTATAATTTGATCTATGTCCTTTATGTTGTGTACCAATAAAGTTTGTACTTGTTTTGTTCCTATATAATTTATTTCTATACAGTTTGTCTTATATGGTTTGTTCCAAGTAAGTCTATATGTTATATTCATAAAGGGTATTTCCCATATATACATATATTTCTCTTTGTTTTGTTACGATATAGCTCGTCCCTATGTAGTTATTTACCACATTGCACTGTCTTGGGCGTAGTTGTCGTTTAGCACGCCGCATTTAGGGTCTTGATTCACATAACATTCTTTTCCCAATTAATTTAAATGCTATTCGAGCGTTTGTTTTTGTTATATCGAGATAGTGTTTTCTTTTGTGGTAGCCATTCTGTTGCCATTAAAGCGATACGTCCATCAAAATTAATCAAAATGAAATTGCTATGAATAAACGGCCATTGATTTATATAAAAACCGATCCAACATTCGTTCAAACAAGATTGACATGCAATTCACACAAATTATCCTCTAAATAAAAAATTCTTTCTTTTGAAATCACAGCGATCGTTCTTTTGAAATCAAATCCTGTTTTCCTTGTATGAGAGTAAAATAAGACATTGGAAGCAGCGTAAATGGGAAAATTGCGTGTCCGACAATGTAGTACGCGGAAACTCTTTAAACTTGGTAACTTTTGGAAAATATACATAAACATTAGCGCGAGACAAGGTCTCGTCTGCATTCAAATCAATGCTATCAATTTCAGTTTGATAAATTCGTAAGTGGCTTATTTACCCATGACCTATGCACCTGTCAATTGAAAATTACCGCCCACCCAAACCCCTGGGATAGCGGAAGTGGGGACGGGGGTATGAGGCGATTTGTTTTACTATTTCTTTGTCCCCACACTGCCGGATTAATGCAGTAGATTTATTTTGGCACAGTTTGTGCAAATCGCTCTTCCGGGCTTTTTTGAGTTGGGATTTAACAACCAGGAACGGGTTACAAGGGATTTGAAAATGACCCCCTTTTTACTTGGTTTGTTGCAATTGACTAGTGCTAACAAGAACAATACAAATTCAAGATAAACGGGGGGGGGGGGTGTAGTCAGATAGTCAGATTTGAAAAATTCAGGGAATTCTTTCACACTTCTACTTAGGCGCGAAATAAAATACATCAGTTTGTTGAGAATCCTCTTTGTTATCGGTGGTCTGTTTTCTTTCTCACACCAAAATGGTTCTGAAGAAGTTTTCAAAGATATTTGCTGATAAAACTGATAGTGAAAATGTGTTTATAGAATTAGAATTGCCTAGTAGCTCATATGCTACGATAACGTCAGAGTTGTTGAAGTATCGTTTCTAAAACCGCGTGAAAATGCCATACTTCTTTATAACGAGGTAAATATAAGTAGAACTTAAATTCTAACATGGCAATCTAGATAAAAGAAACGTGGTTTACCAGGCACAAAACACTCATTATATAAAGTACTATCCACGAAGAACGAAATAAAATTGTCTGGAATTAAAGGAGCATTGTTTACGTTCTTAAAAATTCGAGCGGGAATTTGTCTGCCCTGTCGTGAACACTAGATGAAATGTCGAGAGGGAAATTGTGGGAGTGAGGAAGTGGCGAGATAAATTGTCCGCGTGAGAAACTGAAAAGGGAAATTGTCACGGATATCAAAAATTAATAAAAATATAAATAAGCAGGTTCAAAAAGGAAAAAGTGGCAAATATCGTAAATGTTACACACTTATTTCATAAATGGTACATGTACATTTTGTATTTAGAATTATGCTGTCTTCAATCGAGATAAATTTCATATCTTACACTTATGTAAACGAGTGGCGCATGCGCGGAATCAACGCTTAACCCCTATTTATTATTTTATCAACATTAAAATTTGAAAGACCTTGTATTAACTTGTTATCTTTAATTTAATTCAAACATTTGTCAAAGCAAATGAGTTAGTTATATATGAGCCGCGTCACGACAAAACCAACATAATGGGTTTGCGACCAGCATGGATCCAGACCAGCCTGCGCATCCGCGCAGTCTGATCAGGATCCATGCTGTTCGCTTACCAACTCTATTTGACAGCGAACAGCATGGATCCTGATCAGACTGCGCGGATGCGCAGGCTGGTCTGGATCCATGCTGGTTGCAAACCCACTACGTTGGTTTTGTCGTGACGCGGCTCATATTAGCATTTTGCTTCTATTGTTTCCAGGTACATTAAAAAATGGCGACGAGACGTCTGACCAGATTTCTGCCTTGCATTCAGCCGGATACACAGTGTCTTCTACATACTACTTTATCACACTTACAATGTTAACATTCTGGCTTTCTAGCATTTAGTTAATGTTTTGTTCTTTTCCAATTCCAACCTTGTGATACTTCAAGCAGTGTTTCACTTCTTGTACAATTTCCGATGACGTTATTGTACGCAGAAAGTGTAAGTCAGTGGCTGTAGTGTTTTATAAGAAGTCAGTTTTGTGTATATTTGCAATAAGTTTCGGATTTCACAGCAACCGAATATATTTGTGAGGGTTCAATAAAGAATTGTTGCCTACAGCAAATAAAAACTCCTCTTGTGACAGAAACACGTTTTCAGGACCTGTTTTCCGGTTATGGAACGGATGTGAGGAAAATCATTCAAGTGCGTTCTGACAAGACGTGGGACGTTAGCAAATTATCTAGGAAATTAACATACTTAGTTCACAATTAAGAACAAATTTTGCATATCTTTTGTACATAGTGTAAAATATCAAAAATATCATTTTTCATTTGATCATTTTGTATGTACGGCATTATTTTCATGAAAAACGCATATGAGCATGCAATTAGGAAAATCATGTGGGTCATCTTTTTGATGCATTTCATTTCTGTTATACAGATATCACATAGCATCCAATCTTTAACATTTAATTTCTGCCATATACTCTAACTGAAAAAAAAAACAACAATCCAAATCATTTCACTTATGTCATATAACAAGAAACTCAATCCAAAGCATTTCACATTTCCATATTACAGGGCATTCAATTGGAAGCATTTCATAAATAATAAAAACACAGCTTCAAGCTTAAACATTTATTTTTGACAGTATTTCACCAGGACATGTTCTATCTGAAGCATTTCACTTCTGCCATATAACTCAACATTTTAATCTGAACCTTTTCCTTCATTTCTACCATATAACTTAACATTTTAATCTGGAGAATTTCATTTCTGCCATATAACTTAACAGTTTAATATGAACAACTTCATTCATTTCTGCCATATAACTCAATATTGTTATATGAAGTATTCATTTCTGCCATTTAATCTGGAGCATTTCACTACACTACTTCCATATAAATCAACATTCTAATCTGAAGCATTTCATTTCTACCATATAATATAACACTTTAATCTGGAGCATTTCATTTCTGGCATATAACTCAACACTTTAATCTGAAGCATATTACTTCTACCATATAACTTAACATTTGAATCTGAAGCATTTCACTTATGCCATATAACTAAATATTTGAATCTGAAGCATTTCATTCCTGCCATATAACTTAACATGAAGCATTTCATATACCATATATTATAACACAACATTCAATCTGATAAAAAAACGGGTGTACATGTTTTATATCTAGTACTTGTTTTTTTAATGTTATCTGTCAATTATATACATGTACGTCTTAAAAATGTATCATGGATATATGGCTATGTTTGTATTTGTGTATTACTTTAAAGGATAAGCATGGACAATTTCAGAAAAGTGTATTTATACTTGGACTTTAAAGTGAATTGGTCTGTTATGGGAGGTTTTTAATACAATAAATAATTAGGTTGATACATGTCGTATCAGATATAACAACAAACCATGAAATAATTACAAATGGATGTTGTTGGTAGAGTGTGAGATACATGATCCAACACACATTTATATAGCAGATAATAAAATGTTCTAGAACAAAACATAATTATTATTCCTTATATAAGTATTAATACTTAATCATTTAGAACTTTACCAACATTTTTTAAGCAATATTTTATATGAATATCAAAAAGATACATTTCAATTGTTTTTATCAATATCTGAAATATTTATGGAAAATATATACCCATTGTAGACTAATCCACTTTAATGAAAAGTGGAAAAGAGAAATATCAGTGGCACTCCGAGTAAGTTTGTTTGGTTTTACAGCACACCAACACAATTTATAATTAGAACATATGGCTTCGAAACAGGAAAGATGATTCTGGCTAACCTTGGGTGTTACAAACTTAAAGCAACACCAGGTGTCAAAACCACCTCCCCTACTGTAGCTAAGAGATGCATAGACTCCATTTAATCGAACCCATTTAGTCATGTTCTAAGAATAATGTATTAAACCCCCAAATAACTAAATGGTAAAATTTAAAATTGGTCCAATTTTACTAGGAAAATTAGCAGAAATATTTGTCTTCCCAAATTTTGAAGCATCAACACCTAGATAAATAAGTGATCAATATGAATTACTATGTAATATTATTGTCTATTATGTTTTTATGTAATGATATCTGTAATAAAATTTTTAAATATATTGTTTTTTACACTTTAATAATTTTATCGATTTTTCATTTCATGGTTTTAAAGTAGCATGCCTCCAGATTCATGAAAATTTTTAAAATGTATTAAAGTATAAAATATTATCAAGTGAACAAAACAAGTAATGTACACATTGCAAACAGCACTTAGAATCTACAAAAATTACCAAAAAAATAGCCCAGTATATGTAAAATGGCCATAACTGCATAAGTAATGCTGTAGAAATATGTTGATAAAAACTATTAAATCAGACAATAATTGCATAAAACATGAAAATCATTTATTGAATTGTGAATATTTTTATATTATCTAAAATCTTTTAACATTTTCACAAGATTTTCTTGAAATATTTTGGCTTATCTGGAGGCATGCAGCTTTTGAGTTAACTGACACTTTTAAAAAAGTTTTATGAGGAATTTCCAGCTATACTGGTAGAGGAAGACATCAGGTGCACTGCCATAAATTATTGCAAGAACTAGCACTAGGCTTGCAGGAATCCCTGTAGATCTATTGTCCTTCTGTAATTCAATTTAGTTATGATAGTTTTATGTCTTACAGTCTAGCCATATGTGACTGGTGTATACACCATTATGACATATGGCACACATTTGGGATAACTTTACTAAGCTACTGTGACCTTATTCTACTTGTTTAAATATACTTTTTTTCAAAGTAACTTTATAAATGTACTATTTTTCATAGTAACTTTATAAATTCAATATAATCTATGTAAAAAAAAAACAAGAGCACCGCTAGGCGGAGCATTATATGCCCGAAAGTTTTTTTTTTCTTAGTAAGGATGACCTTAACCGTTGACCTTTTGACGCCAAAATCAATAGGGGTCTTCTACCCAATATGGACAATCATCCTATGAAGTTTGAACATTGTGGGCCAAATGGAACTTAACATATGCTCCGGCAACTGTTTTCAGTATCAAGGTAATAGTGACCTTCACCTTTGACCTTTTGACCCCAAAATCAACACGGGTCTTCTACCCAATATGGACAATCATCCTATGAAGTTTGAACATTGTGGGTCAAATGGAACTTAAGTTATGCGTGGAAACATATTTTTCAGTATCAATGTAATAGTGACCTTCACCTTTGACCTTGTGACCCCAAAATCAATAGGGGTCTTCTTCCCAATATGGACAATCATCCTATGAAGTTTGAACATTGTGGGTCGAATGGAACTTAAGTTATGCTCTGGAAACTGTTTTCAGTTATAAGGTAATAGTGACCTTCACCTTTGACCTTTTGACTCCAAAATCAATAGGGGTCTTCTACCCAATATGGACAATCATCCTATGTAGTTTGAACATTGTGGGCCAATTGGAACTTAAGTTATGCTCCGGAAACTGTTTTCAGTATCAAGGTCATAGTGACCTTGACCTTTGACCTTGTGACCCCAAAATCAATAGGGGTCTTCTTCCCAATATGGACAATCATCCTATGAAGTTTGAACATTGTGGGTCGAATGGAACTTAAGTTATGCTCTGGAAACTGTTTTCAGTTATAAGGTAATAGTGACCTTGACCTTTGACCTTTTGACCCCAAAATCAATAGGGGTCTTCTACCCAATATGGACAATCATCCTATGAAGTTTGAACATTGTGGGCCAATTGGAACTTAAGTTATGCTCCGGAAACTGTTTTCAGTATCAAGGTCATAGTGACCTTGACCTTTGACCTTGTGACCCCAAAATCAATAGGGGTCTTCTTCCCAATATGGACAATCATCCTATGAAGTTTGAACACTTTGGGTCGAATGGAACTTAAGTTATGCTCCGGAAACCGTTTTCAGTTTTAAGGTAATAGTGACCTTGACCTTTGACCTTTTGACCCCAAAATCAATAGGGGTCTTCTACCCAATATGGACAATCATCCTATGAAGTTTGAACATTGTGGGCCAATTGGAACTTAAGTTATGCTCCGGAAACTGTTTTCAGTATCAAGGTCATAGTGACCTTGACCTTTTACATTGTGACCCCAAAATCAATAGGGGTCTTCTTCCCAATATGGACAATCATCCTATGAAGTTTGAACATTGTGGGTTGAATGGAACTTAAGTTATGCTCTGGAAACCGTTTTCAGTTTTAAGGTAATAGTGACCTTCACCTTTGACCTTTTGACCCCAAAATCAATAGGGGTCTTCTACCCAATATGGACAATCATCCTATGAAGTTTTAACATTGTGGGCCAAATGGAACTTAAGTTATGCTCCGGAAACCTAATTGCTAACGGACGGACGGACGTACGGACGGACGGACGGACAGACGGACGGACAGACAGACGGACGCCAGGGGGTATAACATAATATGCCCTTTCGGGCATATAAAAATTCATAAACATTCAAACAAAACAACTATGATGAAGATTGTTAGCAAAACATGTAAAAGTGAAAAGAACATTCTTAATTTCATTTAATATTATTTTATTTATGGTAAACAGATGCCAATTTTGATCCATGATTCTAAGGTTATTGAGAATAAACTTAAGTTGTTTATTTGAACCCTTACAAAGCTAACAGAGGCAAAAATTTGTCTATACAAGCCTTACTACAACCTGAAGCAGTCTATATACATTTGACTGCAAAATTTCATCATTTCCATGCTGAAATCTATCAAACTCTCAATGGATTATTGTAAATCTAAAGCGTGACAGTTTCATTGCACAATTTCTCCAGCGCTAATTATATATAGTAATAATTTGTCCATGCCACTGTAAGTACTGTCTGAATTGGGGTCGGCAAAAATCTTATTTGAACAAACTTGTCCGTTTTATCCGAATCATATTTTTATTGTCTGTATGATATTAATAAAGTTAATTCTTGAAAAAAAAATCCCTAAGGCTTGTCCATGCAGGCTTTGGGACAATCTCATCAATACATACAATTGAGTTTGCCGTCCCTGACTGAACCATTCTATATACCTTTGACTGCTAAATTTTATCACTTCCATACAAATCAAGCTATCAGCAGATTGCTCTAAATCTAATGCATGACGAGTCGGTAACAAAATGTTATCAAGATAACAGTTCAGAAAAATCTACAAAATCAAATCAGTGCCTCTCTCTTACAGTTCAACCACAAACCCTCGAACAACTTCCTTTTTCTCCACATTTCTATTGTTTTCTCATACTTTTCTCTAATCGATGACAGATTTAAACAGTTCACTTATCAAGCTTTTTTGTCACATTGATTAATCTTAAAACTGCAACAGCTGTTTGTAAAAACAACTTTAGATAACAATCTTGGTTTTTTCATCTCTCTCTCTACTTTCTGTAACAGCGTTTAATTGTAACACTGTATCAAAATCAATGCTACGACAATAAAACTGTTCATGAGAAGCAGTCTAGTTGTCACAAGTAATTCTGTGAAACACATATTTTAGATAATTACTGAAACATGTTCCACTGGTCAATTTGACGGCTGTAATCATGTAAATAAGATTATATAACATAAAGAGCTGTCTGTTACATGATTGTGAATAATTTGTCTCCGACACATAGCACTAGACTGTAACATTTTCTCAAGAATATTGAGACCGTTGACAACAAAATCCGTGCTCAACCATCATCTTGAGAGAAGTTAGTTCTTAACGGCATTATCAGCTGTGATGCCTGTTTAGCGTCATCACTACGCAGTTTAGTCGCAGCATGTGTGAGCTGTAACGCAGCGTCAGGGTGTGCCGTTCCCGGCAACATGGTACACTCGCGTTCCAACATTCCAGCCATAGCCTCTAGTAATTCGTTGAAACCAAATGATAAAGCGGCTTTTCTGACCCTGTTGAGCTCTTTATAAAACTGTTGCTGTTTATCGGGTAATTTTCTGGCATGTCTGATTACTTTTTGCAGGTCAGCCTATCGAATATAAATCAAGATTTAAACGTAATAACTTAACGTACTGTCAATGAGAAATTCTGGGAATGAAATAATCTGACCAAGACTTAACTAAAAGGGAGTGACAGCTCTGTTGATAAGGTGCCCTGTGGATAAGGTGGTCTGACCCTCAAGGTTTATGGTTTGACCTGGGTTTATAACAGGCTTTTCGCTGTGGTGTAGTGGTTAGCATACTGTACTGGTAATCCAGAGACCTGTGGTTCGAATCCTAGCTGTGGTGTGCTGATTTTTCTTTACATATAATTATGTATGCTCAAAGTTAGCTTATATGACTGTAACAAGGTAATTTCTACACATTGAAAAAGACAAAAAATATACAAAACAGACTGAATTTCATTGAAATAAAATGACAACAAGATAAGGTAACAGCTTGGTTGTAAACATATGCAAAATATTACTCTTACTCATACAATAAATGGAGTATCCTTCATAATATATATAGTTATATCTAATATTGATTTTATTAAACAAGTTTAATTAAAGTGATAAAACTCGAGGCTATGACCATATTGACTACTGTCAGTAAAATGAAGTGATCACTTTGATGTTCACCTGCATGAGCTTGAAATTACAGTCCTAAAATAGTGGATTTAAAAAACAGTTCTAAAATAGTGAATTTAAATCATATTTAAATACATTGTATTTCCCTTTATGGGGGCAGTAATTAAAGTACCATTGAAATGATACGTATGGTCATTATTTAAAGATAATTACAACAAAACTGACGTTAAATCAATGAAAACAAGCAGCGATTCACCAAAACCACCTGCTCCCTCTCACAGAAAACATGTTTCTTACGAATGCGAAATAAGAACAAGACATCACAAATGAGTACTTTTATGCATTAATGTCTGCAATAGATGTCTTTTTGTTTAAACGTTTATTATTTCAGCCTAAAACATTAATAATTTCAACCTAAAACATTAAATCATTTCAGGCTATAATAATTATAGCCTAAAAAATTACTTATTTCAGCCTAAAACATTAATAATTTCAACCTTAAAACATTAAATCATTTCAGGCTGAAAAAATTACCATATAGCCTAAAACATTACTTATTTCAGCCTAAAACATTAATAATTTCAGCAGTTGATTATGTGAAAAGATTATTGATTTTTTTAACCACTCTTGTGTTTGTTATACATGTATCAAATAAGAAAAGATGGTTGTGATCAAAGTTTGGGGGGGGGGGGGGCTGGAAACCAGATGCAGATGTCTAAGTCTTGTTATTTGGGCTACTACACTGCTACACATATAAAGTTTGTTGTTGTTTTTTACTTTTAATTATGTTTAACCTGAAAAATATTCTAGAATTTTATTTTATTTCTATTTCTTCAGTTTTTTTATTTTCTATTTAATTTTGTTGCTGTTTTTTTTTTTTTGGGGGGGGGGGGGACTGGGGGATAAGTTTAAAGTCACACAGACATTTGAATGGATATATGGCAATTTTCCAGCTTCATTGGTGCAGGAAGAATGGGTAAGTTTCCCAGCCCTGAGCCAGGACTTGAGTAAGACAAGCAATCAACTGTACAGTAACTACATGTAGTTATCTTACTCACATAAAAATCAACAAAGTTCTGAATTTTTGTACTAAGTCTTCTTTGAAATTCAGTTTCAGTTTAGGTTATATAATGACATCAGGAAAGAGGGAGTCTTAGGTTGAGGAAAATTCACCAATGTTCCAGAAGCTAGCTAGCGGAACTTAAAGGAAGCTCTTACATCAAGTCACAAACGTCCCTACAATAAACAGGGTGTACACAATTTGCATAGGCGCAAGTTAAAAAATATCAGAAATTTAGTGTTATTTCAATCAGTTTTGTAATTCGAGAGCAGAAAAAACTTGAATTTCAGGCAAAAGCCTGAACACTTGTACCCATGAAAATGTCACAAGTTACCTGCAGGCCAGCTGCCTTGATCCAAACAACACAACTCTGTGCGTAGCTCCTCTTCTCTTTAGGTCGGACAGGAAACGGGGTCCTATTATCATCATCTCCGTACGGTGGTTCCGAGAAATCCGTGATGGGTGCCAGATAGTTTAAATTACCAAGCCAGGAAACAGAATCTGCCCCTGTTAAAATAAAATAGTTTAAATTACTATTAACAAGTCTAGAAACAGCACCTGATGCTGTTAAATCATAAACAAAAGCATTTCATGCCTTTTTTGTAGCCTTTCAAAATTTTAGTCCTTATGATTTATTTTACAAATCATCTCTTTATTTTTTCAAAACAGGGCTTTAATTCCAAGGTTGGGGAAGCACCCCTGTCCTTAAGTTTGGGGGGAAATTATATGGTATTTTGCAAAGGGGAAGTAAAAACTTTATGTAAATTCAAATTTTGAGTTTAAAGAATTTTCCTTTGTGGAAGCCCCCTTTAATGGCCCCTGCTATAGAAGGAAAAAAAAGGCCCTGCAAAATATTAAAACACCTATATGAATATTGTGTTAAGTTTTATTTTCTTTCATTTTTCAGTCTAAATAAGGTAACCAATTCTTCTAGATTTAAACAATTTGGCCTGCTATCAGCAATTATGGCATACCGATACCATTAATTTTAAAGATAGGCAAAATATATATAGGCAACTATTTGGCCACATAACTATAACTTTTTGAAATTGTAATCACATAAATTCAAATAGGACAGTTCCCAATTCAAAACAAGACAAATTTTAAAATTAACTACAAACACTGCCAGATTTGTCATTGTATAATTACAGGAAATTTGCCAAGGAAATTTCTAGGAATTATAGAAATTATGGAGAAATTACTGTAACAGATGACTGTTTATAATTTCGATTTATGTATGGTATACAAAATATATCAAACCTATACTTTTATGGAAAAAAATTAACAGTGTTAAGACTTTTCTTTTCCAACCTCAAACCAAAAATATGATAAAAATACCAAAAAATATATCAATCATTTAATAAACCAATCAAATAAATCATTTCATATCTGGCCTAGAACTCGGATGTTGTTACTATGGAAACATCACTTCAGGTGATTTATAATTTTATCTATGAACATGTTTATAATCACATGTGTAATGTGCATGTACATTTTATTTAAAAATTGATGATTTTTAATCTTTTTGAACAATGGGGCGGGGGGGGGGATAAATCCCATGATGGAAGACTAGGAGAAGAGGTAAAACATTAAGTACCCCCCCCCCCCCCACCCACCCAGGAGTGTATATAACTGTTTATATCCCAAAATAAAGGGTATACCTATTTTGTTGGCAAATAAAAGGTACTTTAAGTAAAGAAAGATACATCGATCATCTAGACAGGGGAAGGACTATTACAGTACAAATACATCTAACAATTTTGTAAATTAACTTTCAAGTATTCTCTTTCATACATGTACATATGTGTATTGAATTATACTTGTCTGAAAAACTTGGAATTTCAAGTTGCCAAAACAATTTATTGCCTTATTTATCAAAGAAAAGACTGCTTTTGTTTCCAAATAATCTGTAAATGTAATTTTGAGGCCATGGCCAAAACAAATTTGGTTTTCAAAAATAGAACTAAAATCTATTATCCTTCCAAACTGCCAAGTATTTCACAAGACATTAAACTGCCATATGGGTCACACATTACTGAAATTTTTACGTTCTTCTTGTGAAAAAAAAACAACAACATTTAGATGGGCCGACCCTCCCTGCATTATTTCAGGCACACTTGCTGGCACCAGAGTAGAACCACCAACATTTTACATTGCTTAGCTTGTCAAGTTGAAAACACATGTAAATTTTTGAAATTGACAGTAAATATCTTTAGAATAACTACAAGCATCTTTTGTGTGGAATTAAAGCTTAGGTTTAAAGGGACTCAATTGACGTTTTTTGACGTGTCAGACTGAAAATATATTTCTGCTATTTGTGTACCAACTGATATAAGTATGGACCAACTACTTGTGTACAAATTTTCAGCTCATTCCCCCACCCTGTTTTTTCCAGAATAATCTTTTTTTATTGTGAAAATAACCGAAATATGAAAAGCATTGCAAATTTTATGTTTTTATGCTTTTGGACGTCAGTGGAGTTCCTTTAAAGTAAGGTCTATTTTCACATTACCTGGTTCAAATAAAGACAGCATCAAGCTGGATTTCTTCTTACTGTCAGCCCAGGAATATAATATACCAAACCAGTTCTCCCTACAATAAACACCATTATGTAATAAACCAAACCAATTCTCTCTAAAATTAACACCAGAATATAATATACCAAACCAATTCTCTCTAAAATTAACACCATTATGTAATAAACCAAACCAATTCTCTCTAAAATTAACACCAGAATATAATATACCAAACCAATTCTCTCTAAAATTAACACCATTATGTAATAAACCAAACCAATTCTCTCTAAAATTAACACCAGAATATAATATACCAAACCAATTCTCTCTAAAATTAACACCAGAATATAATATACCAAACCAATTCTCTCTAAAATTAACACCAGAATATAATATACCAAACCAATTCTCCCTACAATAAATACCAGTAAATAATGTACAAAACCAACGTTCTGATATCTAAAATGAAAAAACATGTATAACTGACATAATTTATATTTCAAGACTTTGGTTAATGCAGAGCGAATTCTAAGGTTATGCCTAACTATGTTTCACGCCAGTTGGTTTGAAACCAAAAACTTTCTGTTATATACTGATAATAAAGGCTTATTACACATGAAATGTACACTCAGACACAGGGGAGTTGTTGACAATAGCAGCACCTGTGACAGCAGACGCTAACTAAAAATTACTGATAAAATACCAAAAATAACCCTACTTACGTCAGTGCAGTCAGGTATATGTAAGAACTTTGAACCAATGATGACATCAACATATTTATAGTAGTCTGTCCTACATTTAAAGTCATCGTCATATATATTTCTTCATGTATATTTTATTTTTATTTGTTTTAACTCTGTGATAATCATTATATTTGTTATCATAATCAAATAAAACCTTAAAACTTATCCTGTGTTGATTGTTTGTTCCACTTTTATTAATTTTCTTAGTATTTCTGATTTTATGTCAGTTCCCTAAAGCAATCTTTTATGACAGGCTTTCAGCTTAAACCACTCTGACATAGAAGCTTTTAGGCTTGAAACATTGTCATAAAAGTTTTTAGGCTTGACCACAAGAAGCCTTTAGGCTCGAAAAATTGTCATAAAAGCTTTTAGGCTTGACCACAAGAAGCCTTTAGGCTCGAAAAATTGTCATAAAAGCTTTTAGGCTTGACCACTCTGTCTTGGAAGCCTTTAGACTTAAACCACTCTATCATGGAATCTTTTAGGCTTGAACCACTCTATCATGGAAGCCTTGAGGCTTGAACCACCCTATCATGGAAGCCTTTAGGCTTGAACCACCCTATCATGGAAGCCTTTAGGCTTGAACCGCTCTATCATGGAAGCCTTTATGCTTGAATCACTTAGTTACGGAAGCCTTTAGGTTCAAACCACTATATTTTGGAAACCCTTAGGTTAAAACCACTCTACCATGGAAACCTTTAGGCTTGAACCACTCAGTCATGGAAACCTTCAGGCTTGAACCGCTCTGTCATAGAAACCTTCAGGCTTGAACCACTCAGTCATGGAAGCCTTCAGACTTGAACAACTCAGTCATGGAAACCTTCAGGCTTGAACCACTCAGTCATAGAAACCTTCAGGCTAGAACCGCTCTGTCATGGAAGCCTTCAGGCTTGAACCACTCAGTCATGGAAACCTTCAGACTTGAACAACTCAGTCATGGAAACCTTCAGGCTTGAACCACTCAGTCATGGAAACCTTCAGGCTTGAACCACTCAGTCATGGAAACCTTCAGGCTTGAACCACTCTATCATGGAAGCCTTTAGGCTTGAACCACTCTATCATGGAAGCCTTTAGGCTTGAACCGCTCTGTCATGGAAACCTTTAGACTTGAACCATGGGAGCCTTTAAGCTTGAACCACACTATCATGGAAGCATTTAATCTTGAACCGCTCAATCATGAAAACCTTCAGGCTTGAACCATATTGTCATGGTAGCTGTCAGGTTTCATATGGGTCTACAGTCAAGTTAAAGAAAACCTACGCAACTCTGGTAACTGCCACCATACCCTCCACTTTAAGACTACCATGTAGAAGAACAGTAAATGACGGTTGTTTACCGTCCTCCGTCTCATCTTCGTCTTCTTTTCCTTTCTCGCCTGAACTCTCTGTAATATAATGTACCAGTGACAAACACATGTACAGCTGCTGGGTGTGGTGAAAACCATTTTCTAATAATTTTTTTTTTATATAAGGACACCTTAGAACACGTTTTATTGTGTTTATTGTAATCTACGTATCAAAATCTATTGAAAACAAAAAACATGCCTTTTCTTGGCCAGATACCTTTAACAAGAGCTGCCTTACAACAGCGGGCTCGACTATTCTACGGGCTTCAGTAATGAAAGGGGCATAACTCTGTGAAAAGGTAACTTACAATTATTGAACCTGTACCTATCATGTTATCATGTTTAAAAATAACAGAGAACAAGTATGTGAAGTTTCAACCCATTCCCTTCAGTAGTTTTGGAGATACCAACTTGCCCGCAAAAATTTAATCAAAGTGTGACAATGACGCCTGGGTGAGTACTATTCTTTGAATAGTTGAGATCAAAACTATATGATCAACATTGAACAAATTGTTTTATACTCTTTCTTTCAGTTTTTTATCTAAATTCCTTTTTGTCAGGAATTTAAGGAGGGGGGTGGAGTGGGTGCAAGGGGAGGTGGAGCGAGCCAAAAATGCACAACAATGAAAGGAACAACAATATACATGTATACCAAATATTAACTTTGTTGACTTTTTCAATACATCACTTTTTTTGAAAGTTTTACCTATTTCTCAGATGAGTTGCTAATTTAAATGGTTCTTTTTTCATGTAAAACTTTATAGCAAGTTCTGTAAATAATCATTTATACATGTACATGAAAACAGTGAATTTCAAATATACACTAAAACACTTTAAGTTAATAGTCGTACACACCCAATGAAATATTTGATCAAACTGGAAAGCAGTATCTAATCAGGTCTCTGCATGGGCTATACATAGATAAAATGGGAATATACCTGCACTATTCTGTTTCTGTTTATTGGTCACAGGTAATACAAGATGTCTAGATACAGTGGGAGGGCTAGCAATGTCCTGTAGGTCCATAAAACCACATATCTCTAGTTTCTCTGATACTGTTGTATGCACCGATACAAACTCAGATTCCCTGGAGAAAAAATCGACAAGAAATGTACTTAATGTTAACTTAACATATAATTTCAAGCATCTGAATAGATACTAAAAAGATTTCATGAAAATCAAAATAAACACAGGCTTCATTATACTCAATGACTACGCTTGATAGTTACCAACCTAAATATCTTTATTGGAATTGCCCTTCATGCAATCTGGACAAAACCATTTATCATTTTTGGGAAAACTTCAAAATATATACTGACTGAATAGCTGACAGTGCAGGCAATTATCAGACAGCAAAGATGTGCAGTCTGATCATAGTCAGCACTGGACACATGGGTAAATTTAGCTGCCTTCCAGCGGGCTAAAGAAAAGAGCTTAGATAATGCAAGAAGTTCAAAAAGAGCTATTATTCAGTTAAAGCTAGGTATATAGGTCTTAAATAGATAATGATAATGTAACTTTTATGTTAATGCCTTCAAAAATTGTTACAAATGATCCAGCACACAAATCTTTCACCAAAAATTCATTCAAGTTCATAGAGTTCAGTAAAGTTCATAAAGGGGTATAATTTAGTCAAATCAACACTAGTTAGAGTTATGGGTCTTGGACAGTCACCTTAAAATTGATTCTGAGGACATGTGTTAAGTTCCAGTTTAATACATGCAGTACTTAATATGCATTCGCAGGCAAATCCTAAACAAACAGTAACACCAATATAAAAACGAGCAAGATTACCTCACCTCTTTCAAAAAACAAGAAAAAACTATCAACTTCTTCAAGCACATACTATACAACTTTTAGAAAAATATGTAAGTTTTAATACAATCCAAGAGGCAACCAATTGGAAAACAAAAGTCAGGATTACAGCAACAGCATTGTTATAAACGATATATCATTATAAGCCACATTGTTTTAAGGGGAGTTTACTGTAATTTATTATCAAATTACAAAAATGCCAACTGTAGTCTACTTACTTGTTAAATGGCTCAGGTGAGGGATATAATGTAATGTTGCACTCAAGATGTCCACATGTTAGCAACCCTGTATAAGGTGTGTAATATTTCTCTGCAATCTTTTTAAACATGTCTTGAACAACTGTCATACTAAGTGGACCATCTGGTATGAACAATTCACCATCTGAAAAATTAACCATTCATGTCTTATACATTCTTATTAAATCTATAACAAAAATTTAACCCGCAACCAGCTGGAACCGAAAGTTATTAGCCTTTGCCACAAGCTTCCAGCCACTGCAAAAAAAACGTCTGAGGCAGCAACTGTCCGGGGGGCAAATGTCTAGATACCAGCCTGCACTTCCTTTGGTAGGTCAATTTTCATATTTGACATTGAAACCCCTTCAACTCAGAATGGACTGTTCCAAATTCAAAGCTGGGTAAATCCATTACACAAATTTAGCAGGTTACTGTGTGTATAAACAAAATCTAGCCAGAAATGTCAGAGTTTTGTTGAATATCTTTGACCTTTAGGTGAGACCTTGATTTGATTGCAGGAAACATATTGTCATGATAGTAAAAAATTCTGCAAAGTAACTAAAATCCCAGAAAGGATCAGCCAAGTTATTGATAGGACATACACACACAAAGACAATACCATGATGCTGTTGAAGTTTAATCATATTTATTTTAGCTTGATTGCGCACCAATTTCATGCAACTAATATTAATCACTTTGGAGTCTGCTTCCTGGAACTAACCAGTACTGGTGTCATATGGGGAAACATGATTGTGACCCGCGTAGGGCTCGGACCAATGATCCCTAGGTTGAGAGGCAGATATCTTAACCACTAGGCCACCGCTCCCCTGTAAACATTATGTACCTGTCCAAAATTATAAAAGGAAGACATTAAAAGTGATGGAAAATGGTGTAAGCTTCAGAAAAACACTGCTAAAATACTCAATACTAAGGGTATTGGTCATCATGTTTCTAAAATAATGAAAGACAAGAGCCCGGTTTGAGCCGGGTGATGCTCCCTGAATAGGTTTTGGACACAGGAAAGTACACCTCTTGTAGTTTCAGAGTTATGTCCCTGGAAAAAGTTTAAAGTGCAATAATTCCAAAATGAGGCAAGGCAGAGTTACTGTTCTTTGCACTGCACTTCTAATCAATGTGATCTATCAACCTACAAAGTTTCTTGTTGATATCTCTTATGGTTTCCGAGTTATGTCCCCGACAACTTCAAAAAGTGTAAATAAACAAAGGGCAATAACTCCAGAATTAGGCAGAGTTATTATTCTTGTGCACTTCACATCTACTTATTGAGATATATATACCTACAAAGTTTCATGTTGATATCTCTTATAGTTTTACAGCTATGTCCTGGACAAGATTTTTCTAAAAGGGGAGATAATTCAAAAATGAGGCTTAACAGAGTTATGGTTCTTTTGCATTGCACTTCTACTAAATGAGATCTATCTACCTACAATGTTTCATCTTGATATCTCTAATAGTTTTAGAGTTATGTTCAGGACAAAGTTCAAAGTGTTAAAACTAACAAAGGGCAATAACTCCAAAATTAGGACAAAAAGAGTTATTTTTCTTATGCACTGCACATCTACCCATCAAGATCTATTCACCTACAAAGTTTCATGTTGATATCTCTTATAGTTTTAGAGTTATATCCCGGACAAGATTTTTCTATAAGGGGTGATAATTCAAAAACCGGGCAAAATAGAGTTATGGTTCTTTGACACTGCACTCCCCCTCAATGCCCTCTACCACTGTATGAAGTTTAAACAAATTATCTCCAAGGGTTTTCAAGTTATGCTCCGGACAAGACAACGGCCGGACGTTCTTACCAGAGCTACATTATGGGGTTTTCTTTTGTTATTTCTCTTGTTCTTTTTAACCCCACAATGCAGAAAATAACCCCACAAGAGAAATGGAATGAATGACATCAAAGACATCTATTGTAATGAGAACAATAGACCAAACCCCATAATGTAGCTCTTGTTTGTACGGACAGACGGACAGACGTTCAAATATTATGGGTTTAGGGGCTATTTTCTTTGTTATTTTCTTTGTTTTCTTAAGGGCTACTAGCCCATAAACCCTTTGATCACGGAATGAACCTATTGTTCTTTTTTGTTCTCTTTACTGTTATATAGCCCCTAAACCCAAAATGTTTGCTCGGACAGACGGACGGACAGACGGACAAGGCGCCGACTATATGCTCCCCCGAAATTTTTCGGGGAGCATAAAAAAACACATCAATACGTACCTCCATTTAACTCAATAAGTTTTTCATACAAAGGTATAGATTTTTTCATTTCTGGTGCTGTTGGGTTTGCTATACAAACAATAATCAGTTTTCCTTTGAACGCAAATGGTAGAGGACACTTCACTGTGCTATCCCCTTCATTAGACTGTGTCCATAAATCTATCAAACTACTTAGAGAACCAGTCCCAACCCCTGTGCTGCCATCTGTTACCAAGATTACCTGAAATGGCCGATTAATCATTTGACACATTTGTCTCATCTATTTATAGATACAAACATAATTCAAAATCTATCCAACAAGTTGTCATATCATTAGTTATAATTTTAGAATTTTGTAACATTGTTTCTCATTGGACTGTTGTGATGTTTATATAATCTATAAACACTGCCGCTGCAAAAATATATTATTCTACATATATGTATATAATATATTCAATTAAATCAAAGGACCAAATTGTAAAAAATGTTATCACTTTTTCATACAGACTTTTGACAATTATTATTAGTTATAAAGATCTCAACAGATTATATGACCATATTAAAATGGTTGGTTTAAAAACCTTTAATATCAGGCAAAATAACCTGTCAGGTACTTTTATAACAAATTTATAATACAGCAAACTTTTTTTTTTATAATAATAATAATAATAATAATAATAATAATAATAATAATAATAAAGACTTTCAAGAGAAAATATTTATATTTTTTTATAAATTGACATCAGACCCCCGGTAGCACAATAACATTGCAACAGCAATATCAATACTCCCTACAGTCAGACTTCACAATAAAATTAACCTCTCTAGAGCAACACCTCTAAGTAACAACCTAATTCATTGTCTCCAAAAGGGGGTTGCACTGTAGAGGTTAATCATGGTCATGCATCTGAATGATTGCATAAGGAAATGATTTTGAAATCTCTTTAATATTGAATCACTTTGCTCGGCTATAATTTGGTTATTCACATCTAAAACTTTTAGAATAACAAAAAACGTATACTATATGAACACTGTATGTACTTTCTGATATGAATAAACTAAATCTATACCTATCTAGAAATTAAACTGTTACATCTTGAAGTTTAACACCTTTTTTTTGAGGTTGGTTTGGCAGCAGCATTTCTAATATCTTAAGATTATATCATTTAAACATTTTACCTACTTTTACAACACTTTATAGCATCTCCAACTTCCAAAAGTTGGCTAAATTATAATTGAAAAATTACTCCATTCTATGAACGCTTATCTCTTGGCAGATAAGAACTTGCCAAACAGCTCTTTAAACATAATAAAAACCTTCGATTATTTTGAAAATTGCGAATATGTTGCAAAGATATTATCAACAACCATCTCATGAATGAAATAAAAGCTGTACCGATCTTGTAAAGGTTCATGGCTTTAGATTAGAAGTGTTTATCTGAAATTCCTGACACGTTTATTCACACTTTTAAAATCTAGATTTTTTTTTCCTTCTGAGATATAGGCAGCATTCAATCCTGCAGTTACAAATAAAGTATTATTTTGACAGGTGGCTAAACATCAGATGTAACTAAATTTAAGTATTTTATCAGTTAGAAAGTTCCAATGTTTCAATTTCAATTCCAACTAATACTGCATTGTTTGTTTGTTTGTTTAGTTTTTATGCTGATTTAGCATATTTTGGTCAAAACTTGGCGGTCTCCTCCTAACATGCTTTCCCATATAACAAATTTGTTATTACCAATTTCTCCACAAGTGAACAACTGTAGCTGCAAATATCTTCTCTCAAATAACTTACATAAAAAGTGTAAAGAAAGGGCCAATAATAGTGACAATCACTGCTGAGGTCAAAGTACCTGAACAGATGTAGTTCCACCAAATTCCTCGACAACCAGTCCACTTATACCCGTCAGGAATGGTTCCAGGCATGTCTTACTGTAATCCCCTACAGTATTTAGAGCTGTTTTGACTGTGTCCACATCTCTAGTAAAGGGGACAAGTTGCTCCCAAAGGTATGAAAATACAATCTGAAATAAACACAATATAAAGTCTCCCTGATAATAAAATAAAACAATTCATAATTATATATATTTTTATGAGCAAATTAACATGAAGAAATTAGGTACTATTAGATCATCATTTGTCACATACTGACTGTTATGTCCAAGTTTTGTGATTATATTTTATGCACCAAACTAGTAATCTTATGTTCGCTAGCCGCATGGGTTCAAACCCCTTCAGGGGCAAGTCTTTGAGCAAGAAACGTTACATTCATTGCGCAGTACTGGTTGGTTCCAGGAACGGATTCAAAAGTGTGTCTAATAGCTTCCTACACAATCGAACTAAAATAAATTCAGTATAAACCAAGGCTTCATTTATAGTAAGATAGAGATGAAATCATGTAACAAAATAAGGATCTCAAACCTACATACTCAGTATTTGTTATCGGAAAGTCTCCTTTACTATACATACAAAGCTGGCTACAACTACTATAATGAAACAACTGTCAAGTTTTGTTGTTAAAAAGCTGTCCTTACCAGTGAAGTGAATTCTAGTTTACTAAATTGATCTATCAATGATGAAAGGCCATGAATTGCAAGATTTTTACGACTGTACTCTTCTAATGCTGTCTCCCCCTTTACAGGTCTACACATTGACAATGACACATCTAGTGCTAACACTGTAGGCATCTTTGTGAGCTGAAATAAAATAAATCAAATTTCCACCATTCTGACACTGACTAACAAAGCAGCTAGGAACCTACATGTACTCTAAGTGCATTAACTTGAACAACAGGGATAAAAAGGTGATAAAAATTTAAACAAGAAGCGGTTGAACCTGGTAGTGCTCCCCAAACAACTTTTTGACACAGAAAAGTATACCTCTTGTAGTTTCAGCGTTATGTCCCAGACAAAGTTCAAAGTGCAATAACTCCAATCTTTAATAGGCAAGACAGAATTACTGTTCTTTGCACTGCTCATCTACCCAATGAGATCTATCTACTAAGTTTCTTGTTCATATCTAGTATAGTGTCAGAGTTATATCTCTGACAATGTTTAAATTGTGAAAATGAACAAAGGGCAATAACTCCAAATTAGGCAAGGCAGAGTTACAGTTCTTGTTCACTGCACATCTACCAAATGAGATCTAACTACCCTCAAAGTGTCTTGTTCATATCTATTTTACTTTCAGAACTTTGTCCTGCACAATGTTCAAAGTGTGAAAATGAACAAAGGGCAATAACTCAAAAATTCGGCAAGGCAGAGTTACGGTTCTTGTGCACTGCAAATCTACCCAATAAGATTTATCTACCACAAAGTGTCTTGTTCATTTCTATTTTACTTTCAGAACTATGTCCTAGACAATGTTCAAAGTGTAAAAATGAACAAAAGGCAATAGTTCCAAAATTAGGCAAGGCAGCATTATGATTCTTTAGCACTGCACATCTAACTAATGAGATCTATCTACCTACAAAGTTTCATGTTGATATCTCTTATAGTTTTAGAGTTATGTCCTGGACAAAGTTCAAAGTATAAAAATGAACAATTTAAGGGCAATAATTCCAAAATTAGGCAAGGAAGAGTTATGGTTCTTGTGCACTGCACATCTAGCCAATGAGATCTATCTACCTACAAAGTTTCAAGTTGATACCTCCACTTGTTACAGAGTTATGTCCTGGACAAGAAAAGCGGAAGGATGTATGTCCTCAAAGTTTGGTATTTAAGTGGCTACTCTTTTGTTCTCTCTATTGTTCTTTTAGCCATGTAAGAGAAAAAGTAGCCACATAAGAGCTTACTGAATGAATAGCATCAAAGGAAATTTACTGTTACCTATTGTTCCCATAGCCACCTAAGTATCTATACGTTTGTATGGACAGACGTCCGGCCGAAATGGAATAAAGGGCCATTTCTTTTGTTATTTTTTATTGTTTAATAGGGGGCCAATGACCTCTTATTCTATTGGTACAGAATGAACTCTATTGTTCTCTTTGTTCTGTTTACAGTTAGATGGCCCCCTATCCCTATTCAGTAGTGCGGACAACCGGACAGACAGACAAAGCGGCGACTATATGCTCACCCTTCGGGGAGCATAGCAAAATCATGGCAGTGTGCTAAGAATGAGTCATACTCAATCAGCCTGTCTGAACATTAGCCAGACCAAAGTAGACACAATATCTCAGTTTAAACAAGTACTAAGATGGTGCTGACAAAAGAGGAATGTTTATGATAGTTAGGTATATTAAGAAATAATGTGTTTTTGTTGTCCTAGTGTAGAAATTGTAGTTTTCAGGTAGTCAGGTAGCCATGCTTCCTTACTGTTCATATCATAATCAAGGGATTAAATAACTGCAGACGGTTAATTTCATGCACCTTTGAAAGAAATATTGTCAATAAAGCGGTTAAAAAAAAAAAATTCAACCAATTTTATAAAAAAAATTTCAAATAAATGATTGCCTCCAATATATTATTGTAAGATTTTGTTCTATTTAAATGGCACCAAATTATACTGTTGCACATATGGATTTTATGTATTGATAATGTTGTTTGGCCTTTGCCAGCAAAAAATCTACATAAGATGGACAATTATCTGATATTTTGATAACATATAAAATATCTCTTATATTTGTTAACTGCAAATTATCGATATTTTGTTAAAGTTCAAAACAATAAGACATTTTTGTCATTTCTTCTGATTAATGTAAAATATCAGTTCTTAAAAAATAAAGGAAATAGCAAATATTTATTTCAATTGCTATCCGAAAATACTTATCCGAAATACAGGTTTGTTTGAAGAAGACTTCATTAAAAGGAAATACAAAATTTGTCAGACTGGCAAATTGCGGGCGTTTTTTAACCGGCACCTACAATATACAACCTTATCTTCAAATATTTACTTACTTAATATTTAAACAATATTTCACAGCATGATCAGTTGTGTTTCTTTTCTAAATGGAATCATAGGTTGAACATCACTAAATGTTTTTCAGGTTCCAAAGTACTAAACGTACTTAAAAGCACTTCAAACATACTATCAATTTCAGATGGCATGACCTCAACTTACTGCTATTTATTTTCTCGTGTTTATGGCACACTAACAGTAATTAAAGGAGCAAGTGTGTAAGTGGTCATATAGTAGAGCTGTGTAAATGATATTTTGAGAGTCGGGTAAGGCTTCACATTTTTCTCATCCTATGAACTTTGGCACAGTATAGAACTATTAACTAATTTGGGAAGATGTGTAAGTCAGGCCTGAAAGCTCAACGTGGGATCATGACAGTTTACATCTACAGAGTCACTTAGATGTGTTTTGTGAAACCATATGAAATTCGAAGATGAATTTCAATACAGTAGGGGAAGTCATGGTTCAAATTTGTAGAAAAGATGTATGAACTGCATTACTGCTCAGTCAGAAGAGCCGTGAAATGGTATCCGAAGGGTCCCATGTTCAAACCCAAGTCAGGCTGCATGTTTTTTTTTCACCCTGTGACATATGACACAGTAAAGAACTATTAACTGAAATTAGGGAAAAAAATGTGTGAGTGGCCAAATAGCTCAGACAGTAGAGCCACGGAACAACATTCCATTAGGTCCAAGGTTTCAGACCCAGTAGGGCTGCACAATTCTCACACTGTGAGTAAATAAACATTTTTGTTGATGACTTACCTGCAATTCACAGTAGCATTTGTATTTAAACTGCAATGTATACCAAGTGTCAATCTAACAGCAGTTAGTATCATTGCTAACACATAGATATGTCCATACATGTGATACCTCTGTGGGATTAAAAAAATCCTGATATTTTGCCCCCGATTTCCAATATAAGAGATTAAATTCCAGATATTTGTCTCTCATTAAAAAAAATAGCAACGTAAAGATTTAAACAAAGCACCTGTATATAAAAAGTAAACTGCACCTCAATTGTTTTCTATGAGGTGGCGCGAAAGCTCAGTTGGTTAGACCACTGGCTGTCACTCACAAGGTCCCAGGTTCGATCCTGGTTAACACCCTTGGGATTTTTTCAGAGTCACTTTCAGTGTTTCCCACCTAACCAGAGGTGTACTGGTAAGAAATCCAGGTAATCCTCGCATGTATCAGTGCTATACACTAGGCATGTAAAAAACCCAAGGGATCTTTTCAATAAGAGCTAGGGACTGGTTCCCATTTCCCTTGTATCTCATAGCTGTCTCTGAAGTGACTAGTCTAGTCATGTCTACCAAACCAGCCTAAAAAGCTCAGCTTAGCATCCTTGATGATGTTCCGTCCTGAATACTACATTACATGATAGCTGATTAAATTTGACACATAATTTGGACACTTAAAGAGAATGATAATATACTCAACCTTGAACAATAATTTGGTATTTTGTTTAGTATATTTATTGTTTCCACAATAGCTTGTAAACACGGGCAATAAAATCTTTATTTATTATATGCTTTCCATGAGAAATACAACCTCCTGTCCAGACAAAATCATAATAAAATAAAGAAAAAGGGAAAAAACTCAGTAACTATGTATTTCTTTTTATTTGGCATTAAACATAACATGATCATCATAAATATTTATGAATATTTGTATAAATACACATCCTCCAATATTTACTTAAAACATAGCAAAAATATCATCTTAAAATACATTCATAATGTTTAAACATTTATTGACATACATGCACTTAATGATACACTGAAAATTTAAGAAGATAACTATCTTCTCAAAACAAAAATACCATGATCCCCATTTTGTTAATAAATCATAAAATTATGGTGAATTTCCAAAATTTTGACCTTTTAGGTCAAGGTCATATAGAAGCAAGGTCATATCTTAATACATAAATGTATTAATGCATTAGATAATACAGCTTAAATTATATGCAAACAACAAAAATAATGTGTCAATCAACATTAATTTCACATTTTTTTGTAAAGCTTGCTTGTCCAAAGATTTTTAAGAACATAAAATGATGTAGATAAAGATGTAAAAATATGTGAAATCTGACTAATTGTAATTTTGAAAAGCCTTGAATCAAAGTACTGCACAGTTTGCCCTAAATTCTTTTTTGTAAATTGATAGGAATGTAAAGACAAACAAGAGCTGTCGGTAGGACAGCAACGCTCGACTATTCTTAGTGCTTGATAGTAAAAAAAATGCTTGATAGAGTTACCTCCTCCTGTTTACAGGTTGGGGTCATGATGGTGAACAAGTGTGCAAAGTTTCAAAGCCATATGTCAATGGACTTTGAAAATATTTGAACTATTACAAAAACTTTAACGTAAATTCTAAGTCGAAAAAGGGGCATAATTCTGTCAAAATGCTTGATAGAGTTACCTCCTCCTGTTTCCAGGTTGGGGTCATGATGGTGAACAAGTGTGCAAAGTTTCAAAGCCATATGTCAATGGACTTTGAAAATATTTGAACTATTACAAAAACTTTAACGTAAATTCTAAGTCGAAAAAGGGGCATAATTCTGTCAAAATGCTTGATAGAGTTACCTCCTCCTGTTTACAGGTTGGGGTCATGATGGTGAACAAGTGTGCAAAGTTTCAAAGCCATATGTCAATGGACTTTGAAAATATTTGAACTATTACAAAAACTTTAACGTAAATTCTAAGTCGAAAAAGGGGCAAAATTCTGTCAAAATGCTTGATAGAGTTACCTCCTCCTGTTTACAGGTTGGGGTCATGATGGTGAACAAGTGTGGAAAGTTTCAAAGCCATATGTCAATGGACTTTGAAAATATTTGAACTATTACAAAAACTTTAACGTAAATTCTAAGTCGAAAAAGGGGCATAATTTCTGTCAAAATGCTTGATAGAGTTACCTCCTCCTGTCTACAGGTTGGGGTCATGATGGTGAACAAGTGTGCAAAGTTTCAAAGCCATATGTCAATGGACTTTGAAAATATTTGAACTATTACAAAAACTTTAACGTAAATTCTAAGTCGAAAAAGGGGCATAATTCTGTCAAAATGCTTGATAGAGTTACCTCCTCCTGTTTACAGGTTTGGGTCATGATGGTGAACAAGTGTGTAAAGTTTCAAAGCCATATGTCAATGGACTTTGAAAATATTTGAACTATTACAAAAACTTTAACGTAAATTCTAAGTCGAAAAAGGGGCATAATTCTGTCAAAATGCTTGATAGAGTTACCTCCTCCTGTCTACAGGTTGGGGTCATGATGGTGAACAAGTGTGTAAAGTTTCAAAGCCATATGTCAATGGACTTTGAAAATATTTGAGCTATTACAAAAACTTTAACGTAAATTCTAAGTCGAAAAAGGGGCATAATTCTGTCAAAATGCTTGATAGAGTTACCTCCTCCTGTCTACAGGTTGGGGTCATGATGGTGAACAAGTGTGCAAAGTTTCAAAGCCATATGTCTATGGACTTTGAAAATATTTTAACTATTACAAAAACTTTAACATAAGTGGTTACGCCGACACCGACGCTCGGGTGACTGCAATAGCTCTACTTATTCTTATCGAATAGTCGAGCTAAAAAAGTAATTTCAGTCAAATTTTTAAACATAAAATGTTAGACATTATATAGAGTGTGAATAAAAATTCTTAATATCACATTACATTTCTGAATTTAATTTTTTTATTCATCTGGAGCAATGCCACTTTAAAACCTTACTCTTATTTCATTAAAACACTGAATACCATTTTACCAGCCCTGAATCTGAGATGACATTCACAGGGATATTTTGTTTCAACAAATTAAAAACGTACCCTAGGAAAAGTTGCTTTGATACAATGTAAATGGAGCAATTCTTTCAAATAATCTTCCCTAAATACATATCACAAAGTTAAGAATACATTCAAATTCACTTCACACTTTATGACACATCCATCCTTAAGAATGTACACTGCATACACCAGCACAAAAATGATGCCGTACAAATATCAATGTTTCCATGAACACATCATGCAGCAATTTGTCTGTTCACCTTCTCCATTAACTGTTGATCAAGAATACCCTGTCTGTGGCGGACTATACCATAAGTACCTATTCCAACAATACATGTTATCAGTTCAAGGATCCAGAATTTCCTCTCCTCAACCCATGGATCTACTTTACAACTGAAATGTATCAAAACTTTACACATTAAAGGAGCTACACTGAGGCCAAAACACTGTAAAAAATAAAATTTAAAACTCTTACAAAGATTTTAATATTATGAAGTATTTACAATGGAAAATCTGCAAAGGATAACTAAGTTTTTGTGTAATTCTTTGCCTGATTTAAAATCTAAGACATGCTGACACAGTAAAGGTGAAATGAGGACATTCCATGTTTTAAAGATAGAGGAAGACCAAAAAAATCCCCTCAATGCATTATTTCAAGCATAGATAGGCATCTGGATTTTTGATAGAAACATCATTTTTTTCCCACAATTTAGTTGGGATAGTTTTTTAACAATACAGAATTCAATATCCATGGCAGAATTTCAATGAACAGTGGTAGTACCAGTTATAAATAATCTACAACTTATATACTCAGCCACTGCTATAATTCATCTAAATATTGCCATAAATTTTAATTTTCAGAATCATATAATACACTTATTTGTGATCCCAATTTAAACAAAACATTGTTGCATTGTTCAATCAATTTTTATCCACTTTATAATTTACCTATTTACAAAAAACCCAATAGTGTCTCTTTTATGGAAATAGTAATTAATTCAAATTGAAAACTCCTCTACTTCCAATACAACTTTAATACAGACAAAGTTCTTGATCACTAAGTTGTTTGGTTTAAAAGTGTTCAAACTTTATTAAACTAATTTACAGCATGTAAATTATTCTACAGTCTGGAATGACTTCATTTGAATTTGGAGAAAAAGAAATACAGATTATTGAAACTGATATCAGATTACTAAATCACGCAAAATAAATCAAGTTTTGAATGTTAATAATAATGTTAACAAGTATATTCACCTTCTCTTGAAAACATTTTCTTTATGTTTACCCTTTCCACATTGTATCTGTTCCCGGTAACCGGTCTTTAAACAGTAAACTTGTCCTGCATTCTGAAATTATGGAGTGATGTTACTTTCCTGTACATTTTACTTGTTACATGTTTTTAAATCACAATCATGTACACTTTCAAAGGGAGCATTGACCATTTTATTTAGATATTGTTAAATTCATGGCTTGTGAGATTTACCATTAATATACTTTAAAAAACATAAAGACCTTGCATAAACCAAGTTCATGTTCATTGGAGGAAAAAATATCAAGTCTTTATTTTTTTTTAAAGTTCTATATTGTCAAAAATAGTTTTACCAATGGTAATTTGTGGTAATGTTTGAAATTTTCATTCACATGCAGCACATGTTTAATGTATTGAGTTTACAGCATCAAAAATTAAATATGTTAGACTATTTCACAGGCAATCTTTCAAGTAATGAATTTCTTGAAATACTAGCTTGCACATGTTCATAATTGCATTTCATTTTCTTAATATAAACTAGAGCTACACCTAGTCCAATAACATAAGACGTTTCCGTTAGTACTACATACACTCCACGTAGTACTTACGGAAACATCATATGTTATAGGACTAGAGCAACATCAAACAATAAACAGTTAACTATTGTAGCATTATGGAGCAACAAATTAAATGATCATGACACATATTTTGACATGAAGAAAAAAGAGAGTGCAATAAGGTCAATTTTCATTTTTACTGAATATGACCTTTTGCACAACCTCTGCAATCAAACTCTATACATACCAGCAGAGTTTACCCTGGTTGAAAATTTCTTTTAGTCAAATTTGTGTTCATAAATTTTTTTTGTCTAAATAGAAAATTGGACAAGAAATTCTGTAGCCAAATTATAATTTCTGTTCCCGATTTAGAAAAATATTTAGTCTAGTCAAATTTGTGTTCATAATAAACTTTTATCTAAATAGAAAATCGGACAAGACATTCTGTAGCCAAATTATAATTTCTTTTCCCAAATTAGTAAAAAATTTAGTTAACAAATGGCAACAATGTCTAATGGCAGAGTGAACCCTAACTAGTACTGTTACCTACCAAAGTCTAAAATATTGATATTGAAATCGAACAAGATACAAACTGATGACAGTCTCAAAATCAAAATAAGACATAATAGATTAAAAGATTAAATTACAATTAATATCATGATGTTGTTACCAGTTTTGACGCATTTCTGTTTAATATCTATTCACTGTATAATGAAAGAATATCTGTTCAAACAAAGTATTTTTAAACGTCTTCATATTAATGTATTTGTTGGACTTTATTATCAATTGCTTATTATGAGTCTTTTCAGTGGGTTTTTTGTGGGTGTGTGTGTTTTTGTAGGTGTTGTTTTTGTTTGTTTGTTTATTTGTGTTTTCACCAATACCAATTAAAGTGATATTATGCCCATCCAAGGGTACATAGTGAGTGAACAGGTGAATATCAAAATAAGTTACATTTTGCCGTAATTATTTACATTAACATCTTAATTTGTTGTGTGAATTACTTGAAACTTGCCATTATGTTTCATTTCAATGAATCATCACGTCATTGTAAAGGGCTTCCATTAAGTTTCAAAATTTGGAAGTCAGAGACTGCAAAATCTCTGCTATTGGAAGTCACATTATATAGGTAAAGAAGGAAAAGTATTAGATTTTGGAAGTCACAAGCCAAAATCAAGGAGTATTCCCAAACTTCCATTAACGGAACCCCTGAATTGTACCTTGCTTGGTTTAATAAACTATTCTTATTCTTATAACATGTATATTAAGATTATACTGACTATTTCAAGGGTTGAGCATTGTTGACATGACTCTATTACTTTCACAGGCTCTGATCCACAGCTTGATTCATTTTCTGAAAATAAATGAGAAAACTTACTCCGTCAGTGCAAGTGCAAACAAGAGGACATTTGTCGAGTACAGAGAACAATTAAAGGTAGTAGTTAATTCTGCACTGGCACCTTGTAAAAATGCCTGTCAAGTCCAAGGTCTCAACTGACGATAAAAGCCAGGTTCTGATAAATTATTACGATTTATTAGTTATAAAGATTCTTGACAGGTTATATGATCCTATTTAATTGGTTGTTTGCAGATGTTACTCTGGCTGCTAGGTGAGAGTTATATTGCATACAACCATTTATATACTGCCATATAACCTGTCAGGAATCTTTGAAACAAATATTTAATACAAGAAACTTCCTTTTTTTACAGAAAAAGACAGATGTTTTTTTCACATATTGAAAGCAGCCGTGTACATGTACATAAAACTATATAAATGTCTGGATTATCCAATGAAAAACGACATTACAAACATGCAGTATTATACAAGAGCGATCAGTAATCACATGTGTCGCCTCATGATGGCCAATTTTATGTTGGGACAAGTTTTGTGACAGACAGACAGACGGACAGTGCACAACTAGACTTGGTACTGATCATTCCTGTAAAGTTTGGATAAAATTGCACCAGTAGTTTATGAGGAGTAGTCCGGACAAGCTTTTGTGTATCTGGCAACACACAGAAAAAAAACACCTTTTTATCAAAGGGCCATTACTCGGCCAAAAATCATTCAACCGGAAAACCCTTGCAATATGCGCAAGGACTTGAGCTACAGATCAATCCTGTAAAGTTTCATTGAAATTGCATTAGTGGTATAAGAGAAGTAGTCCGGACAAACTTTTAAAAATAAAAATTATTAAAGGGCCATAACTCTGACAAAAATCATTGAACCGGAAAATACTGACAATATGCACAACTAGACTTGGTACTGATCATTCCTGTAAAGTTTGGAGAAAATGCACCAGTAGTTTTTGAGGAGTAGTCCGGACAAGCTTTTGTGTATCTGGCAACACACAGAAAAAAACACCTTTTTATCAAAGGGCCATAACTCGGCCAAAAAACATTCAACCGGAAAACCCGTTCAATATGCGCAAGGGCTTGAGCTACAGATCAATCCTGTAAAGTTTCATTGAAATTGCATTAGTGGTATAAGAGAAGTAGTCCAGACAAACTTTAAAAATAAAAATTATTAAAGGGCCATAACTCTGACAAAAATCATTGAACCGGAAAATGCTGACAATATGCACAACTAGACTTGGTACTGATCATTCCTGTAAAGTTTGGATGAAATTGACCAGTAGTTTATGAGGAGTAGTCCGGACAAGTTTTGTGACGGACAGACAGACGGCCGGACAGACGATGGAGAAGTGATCCCTATATGTCGCCACTTCTCCGTAGAGGCGACACAAAAATGCTTTTAATAAATTAATAACAAGTTACACATGTAGTTCAATTTTAACTGGTAGTTATGAACTTTACAGAAGTGAATCACATAATAGGCTTGTAAGGAAATGAAAGTTTGACTAAAATATTTTCTGCTCATAAACTTACATGTTAGTTTTCTTCAGCTAAACATATTGTCATGAAAGTATAAATCAATATTTTAAGTGGAAACCTATTTCTGAACAGTACATGTAATTATATCTATCTATTTATACCTGCATTTACTTCAGCTATTTTATGATTGTTTGACCATCTACCTTCAACAATCAAAGTTACCACTGTTAAACTGAAAACAAAAGTAAGAAAACATACTTTGTCAGAAAATATACATTATATACATCAACAATATTTTATCAAAAAGTTAAAGTAGCTAAAGTAAATTCCTAATATAGCTGTTGCCAAGTCAGTTGAGAATGAAATTTTCCCAATTTCAAGACTAAAAGATGGCTAACTAGACTTACCCAGACCCTTTCATTAAAGGGAGGGGAAAAAAACATCACTGTTTGAAGCATACAGTACTATTTACATTAAAAATACGCACCTAAATAGTACAAGAATGGCCAGTACCATCCGTCTTCTGGTACAAAACTCAATCATCTTTTATATTCAATATGTGAAAACATGATATATCACCTGAAAATATAATTGTCCTTTTATTACTATCATTATGTTTTATTCAACAGACATATATTTTCTTGCATAGCAGACTGGCGTTTCCGTGAGTTTTACCCATGCCGGAAATTTCATCTGGCATGGGGGGTGCCAGATGAGTCGCGTGCCAAACAACAACGTCATTTTAGCGCCATTTATGAATGAACCGCGTTAAAATGACGTCGTTTTAGAAGGGAAATATGTCTTAGGATGACGTCATTTCGCCGTTGTTATTTAAGTTGTAAGTTCATACGCTAATGTAAGAAAATAGTTATGGATGAAATGACTTTAATTTCCATGAACATATATCATATTGAGGTAAACCATTTTAAATATGAAATAATATATGGCAGAATATGCAAGAAAAAATATCTTTCATATGTTTGCGGTTCGGATCGGAATATCCGTCCCTCGGGAACCCGCCCATGGGCGGTAACTCGGCAAGCCTCGTTACCGCCCAATGGGCGGGTCCCCTCGGGACGGATATTCCGGTCCGAACCGCAACATATGACAGATATTATTAGTCTGTTTATCACCATCATATATTGTATTCACATGTATGCATATATTGTCTGTTTATAACCATGATACTTAAAAAGAAAATAACTTCTTTACAAAAGATTTAACAGACATTTTCAAGTAGATCTAGATTTTTTCACTGATCAGAAATTGATATTTTACAGAGATTTTTTTGCAGGATTTTGGGAATATGACCCATACCCATGCAATTGGGAATTTTAGCGATGTTTTGTTAAAAATTGGGGAAAAAAATGCATGACTGAAATTTTGCAGTGACAGTGATTAATCTAGAAATTCCTTACAATGCGTCGGATGACGCACATGTTTGAAAAGTCTTGTTTGAGTCCTGTAGCAAAATCAATGCGTCTTAGGAGAATTTTTTTTTTTAATAGCAGATCCTTGACATGATTTGCATGTTTTTATAACAAGGGATTAAGTAATTAAATTAGAGTATTAAAAATTTATTTTTGGTACATGTACTAATATTAATTGCACGCAAAAACATTTTTTACTGGCTGCTCAAAAATCTAATTTGCATAATTTATTTTCTTACTACTTATGTCTAATACTGTGCATTATCCATTTTAATTGTTCGTAATTTGCACAAAATGTCCCTGTCACACTGTATACTGACGACTTTTATTGCTCCTTGTATGCCTCTGTGTAGAATGCATACACAGACAGACCTTTTGAGCATGAAAAAGTCATGCACAATGTTTCCCTGATTGGTTAATCACCCTGTCAAATATTCTGATGATGAAATAGACATCTTTTTTTTACACTCCATCCGCCAAAGCTTGTATGAACTTGAGTGACCTTAAGGGAAATCAATTTGCACACCTGTCAGATTATACCGTAACTTACGGCATTTCTTAAAATAGTAACACTTTTTTTCAGTAACCGATAATTATTTTAAATATTAAGTAGATTTATTATTTTTTGTTTGCTTTATTGGATTAAATGGGAAAGGGATTAGGTAAGTAGATAACTTGGAAAAATGCTATAGGGAAAAGGATAAACTCAAGAATATGCGTAATTACAGGGGAATGGGTAACCTGTTGCTGTTAGTACTAGTTTTGTCTGGATGACTAAATAACATACGATATAAGTCTGGCACAGATTTTAGATGTGCCCTTGGCCTTTTGCTGAGGATTTTCTTGTGCCATTCTCATTTTTTAGCGCCAATGGCACAGGCAGATCTCTGCCTCAACTTTGTTTAATATTTCACCATTGTAGGCGATTCACTCTCATGGAAAAGGGACGCTCTGATTGGCTAATGCTGATAATGGGCGGTTACCGATCACAAGCAACAATTGCTTGGGATTTCACGTTTTAAGCAAATGGGGGATGAGTCTTGCACCTGTAATCATCAGATATAATATTATTTAATTATTCAACTGAAGAAATTGATAAATTATTCAACTGATGAAATTAAAGTAATCAAACGGTACATAGAAATCACTAACCGTGATATTTTGGATTATAAACTACCAGATTTGCATGCGTCAAATTGAACGCACATATTTTGAAACTGTGCGTCTTTTTCGATTTTTAAGCGTATTTTATGCAAGATGCACATCTAGATTAATCACTGCATTGATTAAATGAATGCAATCAATCACTGTCTAGGATGGCATTTTCAAAGATATAAGAACTATTATAGTGAAGAAGCCCATATTTTCAAAGATTTTATAATTTTTTATTCAAAATTTTTATTTTGAAACTTTCAATTGGGAATGTTTACCTGTGGATTGGGAAAATAATATGCTATTTTCAATTGGGAATATGACCCAATAACGGCTACAAAATAAGCCCCAAAAATCACTGTGACTTAAAATAACATTTTTCCCAATATAATGAAATAAATATGGGTGAAATCACTGAAATATGTTTTGTCAGGTGATGATGAAGATCATGACATGGTGGGAAATTTATGAAAATCATCTTAAAATAGACAAAAATTGCGTATGATCATTAACTACGATGTGTTAATACATAAAGGATGTAAGAAGTGAGAAAAAATATTTAATTACAATAAAAACTCGCAACACACAAACATCATGAACATACTTCTATCATTTGTAATCAAAAATAATTGCTCATTGTTGTTGTTGTTGTAGTGTTTGTCATACTAGGCTACGCAGTAGGTGGGGGGAAAATCCCGGGATCGCCTACATAAAAGCCGGGATCCGGGATCGTATTAAACATATAGTAATCCCGGGAATTGACCACCAGTTCTCGGTGTCGACGATAAATTATCGATTATCTCATGCATTTCGTCAAAGATATGCTTGTGATTTTTATTGTTGATGGCTATAATATATTTTTGTATTTGAATGATTTTCGGTACTGTATACATGTTTCTTGGTTAGTTATTTCATATGTTTGATAATGAAAACGTTAGTACCTGGAATTGACCGTCTTAGATATATAAATTAACAAGGAAGAACATGTACCGTGGTAATAGTAAAACGTAAAAGTATTATACAAGTAAAATAACGTTGCCTAGTACATACAGTTTCACAATTTTAATTAAAAATGCACGTGGTTAATCTGTGCTTCGTAATTAATTTCTAAATATATATTATATACGTATAATTGACTCAAAGAGATTTTGAAAATGTGATTAAGAGTAATATGTAAATTAATATAATCTTTACTGTCACAGAAATTAGTTCATTAATACAAAGATTTGTATCTGTAAGCGACGCTGGGTCAATCATTAGAGTGCATATGTTGTAATTACAATTAAGCGACACAGGGCCGTGATATCATAAATCAACAGGGTGCATAACATTACATCAGATAACGTCACTCGTGCCAGTTATTTAATTATGACCCGACTTTAGCTAAATGATCATCCTAGGGGCTTTATGACATTGGCCATGTCTCACTGATTTGATCTTCCAACTGGTATTAATAAACACAGTTGTTACAGAAATTAGTATTTTTCAATTATTAACGAAATTTCTGTGTACGTTTGTCACCTTGTTTATAACTTCGTTAAATGAAGAAAAATATTTTCTTTACATTATCTAATAAGCAGAATATGAAAAATATAAAAAAAAAATATTAAGTTGAAAATATCACAATATAATTCATTGTACCTTTCATAAAATATGCAGTGCATTAAACTGGCGTGAAGAATAATTTTATGATAATGCCTTTTTATCTTTTCTCAATTAATTCGATTTGTGACACAATATTTTGATGTTGCAAGACTCAAACTTGTTTTTATTGGCAAAAGCATTTTACAGTGTCAAGTTATTTGGTCTTTCTTTTAAAATTGCCTTTAAAAAAACTGTTTTTACTGATATCGTGTGTAAAGATAAAATATCTTACATGTGTGCACTAAAATATGTTTAATTTACATTCAGAAAGAGAAATTATCAGTATTATAAAATATAAATTTTAAGTATAATTAATCTTTAATGCAATAGCTATTAAATTCGAATTAAGGTGTTGAATTTTTTAATTGCTTCATCATTATATTTTTCATTTACCATGATCTTGCACATATAAATTTTCATCAAGTTATGTAACGTGAATTACTATTTTCAATGTTATACGAACCGCAGCCAGAAAGATCGGGATCGTATTAAAACATATAGGGATCCCGGGAATTGACCAGTCCAAGAATATATTTTTCAGATAAGCCGGGATCGTATTAAACATATAGGGATCTCGGGAATTGACCAGTCAAAGAAGATCTTTTTCAGATAAGCCGGGATCGTATTAAAACACATAGGGATCCCGGGTATTGACCAGTTCAAGAATATAGTTTTTTAGAAAAACCGGGATCGTATTAGACGTACAGATAAAGAGTAAATTATCATTCGGTCTATTGGCCATAGTCGGAAGTGTCACTAAACACCTTTAATACACCAATGTTAATTAACACCAGGGACGATACGTTTTGGGTCCTGTACTGGACATATTTTTTAAGGAAAATGAGGTCCGCTACAGTTCTTTTTCATTTTATATTAAAAAATGACAAATCATTTGTTTTTCTTTTTAAAATATTCATTTTAGATATTCATATCTGTTTATAAGTGAAACATGTTATTTTTATACGATCCATGGAACTTGATTACTTGTTAAACATCTGTAATATATACCTTATGTTTTACAATTGTATTCTTTTCTTTTTTTCTTCAACGTGAAAGCCTTCTGGTATAGTATATATCATTAGAAAAACAACAAGACATTTGTTAATTTGCAGATAAATCAGCATTTTTATATAGTATTTTACACGCCTTTTATGTAAAATAAGCATGCCAATTATGTCGAACTTGTATTTACAATAATGTATAAATACTCAACCATAATGGTCACGAAAAATAGTTGATTTTCCTTATTAGATATAAGCACAGTTATTGATACATCTATGCTGAATTTAACTGTGTGACGTCACAAGTTGCTTCTCCAATCTATTCAACTCCATGATATAAGAGATCCCGGATAATCGCATTAAGAAAAGCCGGGATCGTGTAAGATATATATATCCCGGGAAATTGACCATTACCATCTTGCTTTCAGAAAAGCCGGAATCTATTAAACAGTACAGAGATCCCGGGAATTGACCACCTGTCATACACGTCAAAAGTTTTTTTTGTTATCAATTATGTTAAAGTATATCTTCTGATCTTTTCTAAAAATAATATTTAAATACATGAACATAAAATTAAGCCAAATATTGTATTAACAAAAACTTTGATTTTTCCAATTATACTATAATTACAAGTATTGTGATTTCCGCATTTTAAATTTGTTAATAAATAACTCGAAATATATTTAAATCTTAAGTTAAATTCATTTACTGTTCATTACATACAATTAAAGAAATAAATAGTTAACATTTAATCGCCTCTCATAACGACAATAATCAACATGAGTTTTCCCTATATATCTAATACGATCCCGGATCCCGGGCGTCCCGGATCCCGGATCCCGGGATTTTCACCCCACCTACGCAGTACTAAATAAGTTAATCCCGAAAAATGACACTTTAAACGAAAGGTAAAACACTTGAATAGAATTCATTTCAATAAATGTCGGTGGTGGTGGTGGTGTGGTGGTGTTGGTAGTTTTCACTCCGGATCACGACAGTAAGCCACATTGAATTCACCAGAACACAGTTCAACCACCGCATCAATAAATGTCATTTTCTACTTGTACTTAACTTTACTGTACTGGTTGGAGAGATAACTCCGACACTAAATCACATACTTTTTGTAATATCTTAATTATCTTCCTATATATTTTAAATATTAAACCACCTAAATAAGGTTCAGTTCAAAGACTTCACATTACTCCACAAAAATTATGTATGAAAATGAGAATTGGTACTTATTTAAGGTCCTGAATGGGGTATACAAAACATGGTCTTTTTACCCCTCAACAGTAGATAAAGTCGACACTTAAATTTTTAAGTAAAAAATGACAGGAAAATCAGCATCATTAATTTATTTTTACATCTTATATGTTTTAACTATTTTTTATTGATGTAAAAACAAGTTTTCAAAAATATTTCTCAAGTAAGTGGCCTGTGGTCAATACATTTCTAACTACCTCATTGTAATTTGGTAAAAAGAACGTTTTGAAGCAGTTTTTGCCAACGAAAAGTTTTGGTTAATTGAAAAATATTAAAAAGTTTACCAACTTATAAAAAATCATCACATTCTGTCCTGTTCCTATACTGCTAGGTGACCATATGCTTTTTTGTTGAAAAACAAAGTTATAAAAATTATATTTATCAAGTGTCGGGGTTATCTATGCGTCGGAGTTATCTCTCCGACCAGTATACTGTTGATTACATTGATCTCCAGTGGTGCAAATGGTTGACAATCCACTCTAAACTGATTTTGTCATACATAATGGCAAGTTGTAATTATCATTGACATTCGCACCAATGTAAGTGGTGAACCAATGGTACTTGTGGAATGGCACAACCAGCCCAAACTTAATGTTTACCCAATTAAATCGAT